TTTCTCTCGCGGTTTAAATCCCGCAGGATAAATGCTCTCCGAATATAATCTCCGAAGACTAAATCGTGATCGGCGAATTCTTCTAGATCAAACTGGAAATCATAAATTGATTAAGATTGAAGTGGACTCATAAGAAAAAAAATCATTAAAAAAATAAATCAAAAAGATTGACTATCAGCGATAGCTTTCAAAAAATCGATCTCCTTTTGAATGGCCGCTGAACATACTATGCATTTTATAAGACCAATTTTTTCCTTCGTCACTTGAATTTTCTTTCCCAACTCACACTGCGATAAAGTATACGTCTGCAAAAGTTGTTGTCGTTAAATAGCTCCGAAAAACTTCCAGATATCTAAGTTTGACATAAGCATAAGCAACATGCGCTCAAATCTACGGTGAATACTTGGAGAGCAATGTCAATTCTCGGTAAATTGAAATTTGATTGAAAATATATATTCCATTTTGTCCAAATTGGCCTTCCTGATTTAAGCATTGTATCATTTTTTCGACAACACTTTTCTCGAAGTAGTTTTTGCTATTTGGATCTGATAGCTCTGGGTCGTCACGCAATCGCTGTGTAAATGCCAGTAGAGGCATCTGTAGAATTCGAGGGGTTTTCTAAAGATGGCTCTCAAAGAGCGAAACTTCCCTTATTTTCGGTTTCCGGGAGGTTGTCTCACACAGAGTTTTCCGTGCCGTTTCAAAATCCATCATTGCAGAAACTGGCACCTCAGCGTTTTTTTTAGAGATTTGACCATAGTGCATTGTTTGTGTCCTGTAGGTTATCCTTAGAAAAAGCGTACTTTCAGGGAAATGATGTGTTGTCAGCAAAGCCATGCACTGTGTAGACTTTGTAAATGTTTTAAGGGCAGCATTTCCAAATGTCATTCAAAATGTGTGCATATACTTAGCTGGCAGCTCAAAGTCGAGATTATTTGGGTCGGCATCTGTCTCCATTGCGATATCTTCTGATTCTCTTTTCTTTGTTTGGGAGAATTTTTTTATTCATTGTTTGAAGAATTTAGCGGCATCGCGTTTTCTAAGCTGCAGAAAGACTTTCTTCGTGGTAACGTCTATGCATGTCGCCGCTAGTTTTGGTTTTCGCATTGTTTGTGCATATTTCCATTACAACGTAATCGGCAATTTTAACAACTACGATTTTGTATAATTTCAGCTTTTTCTAATTATTCGAATGAAATGCGTTCCGCTGTTTTTTTTAGGGGTTTAGTAGTCTCATTTTGCGTCGTTTGAGGAGCAAAACAAATTTGTTTTGCGTTTGAGTCTTGAGAAATTTTTTGGTTTCAAAAACGTTTTTTTTTCGGTTCAAAGGGTGTCTGCTCAAATTGTTTCTTTTACCGCGTCGTAATTTTAGTGACAATGCTAACCTAATATTCAGTTGCATTTAACGGCAAGTTTTTTTGAAGTCTAACAATTTTTAAGGAAATTCAAGGCAAATATCATGATTTTGATGGATCTAGGTTTTCTCTCGCGGTTTAAATCCCGCAGGATAAATGCTCTCCGAATATAATCTCCGAAGACTAAATCGTGATCGGCGAAATCTTCTAGAACAAACTGGAAATCATAAATTGATTAAGATTGAAGTGGACTCAAAAGAAAAAAAAATCATTAAAAAAATAAATCAAAAAGATTGACTATCAGCGATAGCTTTCAAAAAATCGATCTCCTTTTGAATGGCCGCTGAACATACTATGCATTTTATAAGACCAATTTTTTCCTTCGTCACTTGAATTTTCGTTCCCAACTCACACTGCGATAAAGTATACGTCTGCAAAAGTTGTTATCGTTAAATAGCTCCGAAAAACTTCCAGATATCTAAGTTTGACATAAGCAACATGCGCTCAAATCTACGGTGAATACTTGGAGAGCAATGTCAATTCTCGGTAAATTGAAATTGATTGAAAATATATATTCCATTTTGTCCAAATTGGCCTTCCTGATTTAAGCATTGTATCATTTTTTCGACAACACTTTTCTCGAAGTAGTTTTTGCTATTTGGATCTGATAGCTCTGGGTCGTCACGCAATCGCTGTGTAAATGCCAGTAGAGGCATCTGTAGAATTCGAGGGGTTTTCTAAAGATGGCTCTCAAAGAGCGAAACTTCCCTTATTTTCGGTTTCCGGGAGGTTGTCTCACGCAGAGTTTTCCGTGCCGTTTCAAAATCCATCATTGCAGAAACTGGCACCTCAGCGTTTTTTTTTAAAGATTTGACCATAGTGCATTGTTTGTGTCCTGTAGGTTATCCTTAGAAAAAGCGTAGATTCAGGGAAATGATGTGTTGTCAGCAAAGCCATGCACTGTGTAGACTTTGTAAATGTTTTAGGGGCAGCATTTCCAAATGTCTTTCAAAATGTGTGCATATACTTAGCTGGCAGCTCAAAGTCGAGATTATTTGGGTCGGCATCTGTCTCCATTGCGATATCTTCTGATTCTCTTTTCTTTGTTTGGGAGAATTTTTTTATTCATTGTTTGAAGAATTTAGCGGCATCGCGTTTTCTAGGCTGCAGAAAGACTTTCTTCGTGGTAACGTCTATGCATGTCGCCGCTAGTTTTGGTTATCGCATTGTTTGTGCATATTTCCATTACAACATAATCGGCAATTTTAACAACTACGATTTTGTATAATTTCAGCTTTTTCTAATTATTCGAATGAAATGCGTTCCGCTGTTTTTTTAGGGGTTTAGTAGTCTCATTTTGCGTCGTTTGAGGAGCAAAACAAATTTATTTTGCGTTTGAGTCTTGAATTTTTTTTTTCCAAAAAACGATTTTTTTTTCGGTTCAAAGGGTGTCTACTCAAATTGTTTTTTTTTACCGCGTCGTAATTTTAGTGACAATGCTAACCTAATATTCAGTTGCATTTAACGGCAAGTTTTTGTGAAGTCTAACAATTTCTAAGGAAATTCAAGGCAAATATCATGATTTTGATGGATCTAGGTTTTCTCTCGCGGTTTAAATCCCGCAGGATAAATGCTCTCCAAATATAATCTCCGAAGACTAAATCGTGATCGGCGAAATCTTCTAGAACAAACTGGAAATCATAAATTGATTAAGATTGAAGTGGACTCATAAGAAAAAAAAAATTATTAAAAAAATAAATCAAAAAGATTGACTATCAGCGATAGCTTTCAAAAAATCGATCTCCTTTTGAATGGCCGCTGAACATACCAGCATTTTATAAGACCAATTTTTTCCTTCGTCACTTGAATTTTCTTTCCCAACTCACACTGCGATAAAGTATACGTCTGCAAAAGTTGTTGTCGTTAAATAGCTCCGAAAAACTTCCAGATATCTAAGTTTGACATAAGCAACATGCGCTCAAATCTACGGTGAATACTTGGAGAGCAATGTCAATTCTCGTTAAATTGAAATTGATTGAAAATATATATTCCATTTTGTCCAAATTGGCCTTCCTGATTTAAGCATTGTATCATTTTTTCGACAACACTTTTCTCGAAGTAGTTTTGCTATTTGGATCTGATAGCTCTGGGTCGTCACGCAATCGCTGTGTAAATGCCAGTAGAGGCATCTGTAGAATTCGAGGGGTTTTCTAAAGATGGCTCTCAAAGAGCGAAACTTCCCTTCTTTTTGGTTTCCGGGAGATTGTCTCACACAGAGTTTACCGTGCCGTTTCAAAATCCATCATTGCAGAAACTGGCACCTCAACGTTTTTTTAAAAGATTTGACCATAGCGCATTGTTTTTGTCCTGTAGGTTATCCTAAGAAAAAGCGTAGATTCGGGGAAATGATGTGTTGTCAGCAAAGCCATGCACTGTGTAGACTTTGTAAATGTTTTAAGGGCAGCATTTACAAATGTCATACAAAATGTGTGCATATACTTAGCTGGCAGCTCAAAGTCGAGATTATTTGGGTCGGCATCTGTCTCCATTGCGATATCTTCTGATTATTTTTTCTTTGTTTGGGAGATTTTTTTTTATTCATTGTTTGAAGAATTTAGCGGCATCGCGTTTTCTAAGCTGCAGAAAGACTTTTTTTCTTGGTAACGTCTATGCATGTCGCCGCTAGTTTTGGTTTTCGCATTGTTCGTGCATATTTCCATTACAACGTAATCGGGAACGTGCGTATGGTCATGTGTTGATGATTTCATGAACTCTCCCTTTAGTGTCTAACTACTAGCCTTGCTTTGATTTTTTAGTTAGTTTGCGCGCGCTTTAGATTGAGTTGGTTAATACTAATTTTTTGTTGGGGGGGGGGGGCAATTGTTTTATCAGGCTTTTTGTCCCCCATTCTTACTCTTCTTGACTTCTTGCTTTGAGTTTAAACAGGATTTGATTTTGTTTATTCTATACAACTTGCACGTGTTCTAAAACATAAATGAGCGTTTTCATCCGGAGGTTTTTCAACTTGTGAATTGCTAAATGGCGATCAGAATGAGTCTTCAGTCTGAAACTCAATCAATAATGCCTTAACATCCAGGGAAAAAACCGTATATATTAAAAAATGGGGAATTTTGTCCCAAGGGGATATTGTTCTATAGGGAAATTTATACGGAGTGATTTTTTCTTGGGGGGAATTATTCTTAGACAAAACTCTTTCGACAAGTTTTTTTCCTTTGTTTTCGGCTTCACGGCTTTTGTCGGCTACTTTGCCATGCTCTGTTTGGGTTTATCGGAAGGGGCGCGGAACTCCTTACAATATCCGACAATATCCTGGATACGCCTCCTGTTTCAAGCTGATATTATGAGATCTGACGTCTAAAAAGTGCGCTTAATCAAAATTTTATGAATAAATCGCAAATCTTTTGTTGTTTTTCACTCGTCAAAATCTAGAAAGTGTGTTTTGTATTACCGTTATCACTTAATAAGCTCGCTTTTTTTTAAAAAAAAAGTCCTTCACTTTTTACGCAACAGTACCAACTGATTGACAGTGTTTGGCGACAAAGCTCAGTTGCATATATTACTGTCTTGAACATTTTAGCGAGACCAGTAGGACCACGAGAACAAAATGATGTTCATTTCAGAGCGTAGTTGTGAATGTTGCAATGTGATCACACATGTCAGTTTCTAGAGGAGCTGCAGGCGGTGGGTCTTCTGGCATGTTTGTGAGGCGAACCCGCAGTTGGACAGAAGAGGCGAGTAGACTCATCGCACAGGGGGAGGAGGCCACTGCAAGTCCAGAAGTACTCCTTGCCTCATACAGGTCAGAAAATTATTAGTTATAATTAGCAAACATTTGGAACAGACATTATTATTTTTTAGAAAACAATCTGCCTATTTTGAGTGAATTTAGCATGCAAATTTGAGTTTTCAGGTGACTTCGAGACATTTATTTCTGTTCTTTTTAAAAGCCCCCCCCCCCCTCCGCATTCTAGTTTCAATTTTCTCAGTTTACTCTATGTGTTCACCATATTTTATTCACTATACAACATTTCGTTACATTATGATTACGTAAAATTAGTTTCAAAATTCAAATCGCATGGAAAAAGTCCACCCTACGCCAAAGTTGTTAGCTTTACCCGAGTTACTTCCCATTATGAATCGGCTAAAAATTTGTACGGCTCTGCTAAGTTGAGAAGGGCGATCTACTCAACAATCTCTCCCCTTTCAATATTAAAGTTTAGAGGGATTGTTAAATAGATCCAAGTTCAGTGGCAAAAATTGAAGATTAGGATAGAAGTTTTTGTTGTTTAGGAACTGTCTGCAGAAGTTGAAACAGGAGTGCGAGTGGCTGAGTCTAAAAGTGACAGCTGTTGAACATTCCAACAATGCACAGGTGGTCAACAAGCTCATCTCGAAGGAACTCAACATCGCCAATCAACAGGTATAAAATCATTTCATTCAGTAATTGACTTTCAAATGGTGTATTGTTTTTATTTTTTTTGGCTATAAATGTTCTTGAGATTTGATGCTTTCGTCGTATGATACTTTTTATAGCACTTAATTTTAAGGACACATTTTTCGGTCCAACGGGCGTCTACCTAAGTTTTGTCTGCCTAGTAGCCTTTGTTAAAATTTGTCTCTCTTGTTGATATTTAAATGCTGGGCATTGTTTTCCCGGCTTTTTTTTTGCTCAGCAAGTAAAGAAACTGACATTTTTGGATGCGTTGATCAAACTATGGACAATAAGATCCTAAAGCTCAGCTTCCCTCCCTTCAAAAAAGGACAAAATTATTTTAAATAGTAAGAAATACTTCAGAAAAAAACACCTCCTTATTTTTCTTTATTTACAAAAAACCACTGTGGTTGAAACTTTCTGTGCTACTTGTACAGCAACCGGCCAGCTTTAATTCATTATAAAATTTAGTGAAATTTCGCATAATTGATTAATACAATACCTACTTAAGATAAATAGACAAATCAACCAATGAATCGATTAATTAGGCCAAACTCAAAATGCGAAACCGTGCTTTAGTTTCGTTTTAAACATGTTCTGAATATATCATGTTTTAGTATCACCCTTTCAGAATTTAATGTACATCATTTTAAAAGCATGTGAACTTGAAAATTTTGAAATGTTCAATTCACTACTGAAGAGTCCAAATAAACCAAAGCAGGTAAGAAAAGTGCAAATTTATGAAAAAAATAGGATAAAGTAGTCTCCGTTTTTTTTTGGTTTTATTGTTTTTTTTTAAATGTTTTATTTGAAACATGATTTTATACAGAAATTATAAGGATCTTTTTTTTAAAAGAAAAGAACTTGAAAAAACCTCCGTTCTTGTTTATAGGCGTCTAGTTTTTTCGAAGGCTCCTCATTTTTTTAATCATTTAACGGCATCCATTTTTAGCCGACTAAAATTAAAACTTTCTAAAGGGCGCTTTCAGGTGCTTAAAAAACACATTTTTCTGTATGAACATTAAAAGACCCCTTTTCTAAATTTTAAGCAAAATCTGGTTTGTTTTGAAGTTTTCTGACAGAGTTCGAAAAAACAACGAAATAGTTGACCTAAAAACAGCTGGATAAATAGTTCTGTCCGGCAAATCCGGCGAAATTTTCTCTGCTTTCTTGGAATATTTCGGCACAGCTAATATTCCGAAACTTGTAACCAAATCTGTCAGCTCTGTAGTTTTCAGTTTTATTACGTGAGTGATTAAAATGGTGAGCCATCAACTGAATTAGGAATAAAAAATCACGCATTTTCTGGGCCTGCATTGCGATCAGTTTTTTTTCAGTTTCTCGAAGCTCGTTTGGATTTTTATTCTGCTAGAATGTCTAACTCACTAGAATTTTTAAAAAATAATTTGGGTTTTTTTGTATCTTTTAAAACATGAAAAGATGTTACATCTTTATGATTATAATAGATAAATAAGTTCGGTTTCAAGAAGAGAACAGACTCGGATTTTTTAAAACAACTCTTAGCATTAAAAAAAATCTCGTCTTGGAAGAACATTAAAAAGGTAGTCTCTTGTTTGTAGTGGGAGGAAAAACTGGAGCTGCTTCGCCAGGAGTTCCGATCCAACTTCGACCGCATTTGCAAGTGTGCCAATCTGGAATCCTACAAGTGCTCCAAATGCGCGCAGCAATTGGACTCCAAACTGAAAGATCTCAGCGACGAACTCAAAGATGTAACACAGCAGTACGATCAAGAAAAACGAAATATAGCCTCGGAGTTTGAGCGAAAATTGCAGCTGATTCTAGACGAACAGTTCGATTGTAGAGTTATGATTGAAGGCGACAATTCGCTGGGCGACGGACAAAAGAGTGCAATTTTATCTCAACTTCAGGCATTGCATAACTCGGAACTGGATTCGGTCATAGGTAAGTACGACTTGCAACTGAATCAGGAGAAAGAAAAAGTGGAAAAGTTGGAATTTGAGATCCTGGAGTTGCAAAGTGAGGAAAAAGGTATTGAAGAGGATTTGAGACGGCAGATTGAGAGTTTGGAAAAGGAGAATTTTCTACTGAAGGAGGAAAATACGCACCTGAAAAGCAAAAGTAAGTGAAAAAACCCGGGGTTGTTAATTATCATGTCAAATCATATCCTCTTAACTGTTGACTAAAAGTTTGAAGCTTATTTAACTCGAAGCAAGAAGCATACTTGTTATTTGGATTTTTGAATTGTCATCTAGGAGATTCGCAAGGGAGGAGGGAGATTTTCAAAATTATTTTACAAAATTTACGATAAGTTTTTGGCAGAATAGTCCAAATTTTTACTAAATTGGTAAATTGGCTCAAGGCATTTCCATAAAACTTTTTTTACAATGCCAGACTCCTAAGCTAATTTGGTCGTAAGAGAGCTGTTTAGTTATTAAAACAGAAATAGCAGTTAAAAGTTACCACATTATTACTAGGTACACCGACTCATAGGAATTTATCAAACAATTCGAAATAAATCCGCTTCCAAATATTCATTATCCTACTTTTTGTTAGTGGACAATGTTTGGAAATGAGGCATCTTTTCTATTTCCGATTCGCCGTTCAGACAATTGTTAGAATGTTTTCTAGAACGCGATAAGAATCAATTTCGTCTTCGTATTATTACGTCTAGTGGCGCTTCTTAACTCTCGACAATCTGTAAGCTCTTTGTAACTTTAGACACCTCAATTCTCAATGGCACAAATGAGGATCAGAACGTCGTCAAAACATCATCAGGATCTAAAAGTGACGTCATACTAACGACGTGTACAACCGAGTCTGGAATTGCGTCTGGAACCCCGAGTCAAAATGTGGAAGAACGACTTCCTTTGATGACGTCATCTTCGGTCGCTTCAATTTACTCCTCGTTGTCGCCTCTCGGGCTTATTTTACCTTCGTGCTCGAGTGGATATCCGACATCGCACATTTCATCTTCATTTTCGGAAAGAGATTTTCATTTGAAAAATAAGTTGGACCAAGTTGCAAGGAGAGTTAAGTTTGGCCTGCCGTTGTCCGACTCTGCGTGGGATAGCTTCAGTGTGAGCAGCTTCAACATGCGGGATTTGGAGGTGGCGCTGGCTGCGTCTTTTACTCCAGGTTTGCTATGGTGCATTCTTAACTTAAAAAATATGACAGTTTTAAGAATAAAAGTTATTTTACAGTTTTTCAAGAGGCTCATTTTGGCAATAATTGTGTCACAAATTTTTTCAGAAATTATGAAATGTCAAATTTCTTACCTATAAAAATCATGGCAGAGCTTTAAGAATAAAAGTATTTTTTTTCAAGAGGCTCATTTTGGCAATAATTATGTCAATACTTGTCTGAACATAATGACCAAAAAGCGAAAATTGATACTTTTTTGAGGTAAAATTTGGGACAGGAGTCTCGCAAAACAAAGTGCACATATTAATTCTGCTGAAATTCTAAGCAAGTTTTAATTCTAAGCAAGAAGTTTGAAGCTTCATCCTTTTTCACCTAGAATCAACCCCGTTTGAAAAAAAACGCGTTTGAATTTTCAAATTTTGTCCGGATGATTCAAATCGTGGTATTTCGAAAACGAAAAAAAAAATAATTGAAAAGGAAGCGAAAACAAGCAGCTCAAGTTTATTGACGTTTGAAATTATTCAGTTTTGAGTGAATTGAGCTGAAAAAATCTTACCCATTTAAAAAAAAACTTCATGCTTTTAACTAGGAACTAATCGAATTTTACATTTTACTCGTAAATAAAGTTTCCCATTTAAACTTGACATATGAATTTCAAATCGAAGCAAAATTTTGCGCTAACAAAGTTTTTTTAAATCAGAGCTTCAAGACGATTGTTTCATATAACAGAATCCGACTTCTCGTTATTGTTTTGCAGTTTTTTTTGCAGGGAAATGGTTCTTGAGGCTGCCCATCATATAAGGAGTAGTTAAGCTTTCTTGGATTTTGGTCCGGCCACTGAGAGTGGGTAGAAACTATGTCTTCAGGTGTGATTTAAATTTTAAACCGTTTTTGCATGAAAACTTAGGAACCACAAAAAATTGTCAGAATGGATTAGATTAAGTGATATATTATGATAAAGCGACTGAGTAAACTGAGTGAGCAGGTGTTATTAAAGGAAAAGTTTTTACTTGGCTTTGTATTACTAAGTTTTACTCCCTTAGTTTTACTCCCTGAAAACAAGCTTACAAAGCTTCATTTAGGTTGGTAATAAAACAGTTTGAAAAACCAAAAAAAAAGGTTGATTATTTAGATTTTTTAATAATGATTTTGTGATAATGATGGGGCCAGCTTTTTGATAGCATGTGCTTTGAAATTCGATTAGTAATAAATTAAACCAGTTGATGCATTTTTAATTTATCAAATGAACCGAAAAAAGCTATTTGTTTCAAACAACATCACAATAATAAAAACTCGATTTCAGAAATTTTCTATCTCAATATATCTCGCAGTTTTTGAAATGCATAATGTATACATAACGTGACTTTATGCTTTGCGATTTGTTACATGCAAAGTTGGTGTGGATGCCTTCAGTTTGTTATATTCCAATTTATTAATTGCGAAATTGAGTCCATTTGTATTTGGTGCTGAATCGCATTGGCAATTTTTTTAGCATATGCAGCTGCTTTATTCGTGACTAGTGTTTGCCGGTTGTTCAGCTTGAGTGGCTGAGGGGATAGTGCGTGAGACCTAAAATCTCTTGATTGCAGTAGGATGCAGATTCGAATCCTAGACGTAGCCGAGTTTTTGTTAATTCGGAGCTTATTTCTACTTTTTCGTATTTAACTTGATAGAGCTGTTTTTTGGTCGTGTTCTCGCTAGTGTTTGCGAAGTGCAGCTTCGCCTCTGTGTAATTTTATGGCGCGAAAAAGTGTGAACGACTTCTAGTTTTGAAACTGTGTTATCCTTCTTTTTTTTGAAGACAACTAAACTATTATGATTTTCTACTATCGTTCTAAGCGTTTTTTCTTCTGATCCTTCAATCTTTTAACGGAAAAATTGGCCCAAATTTGAAAAAATATATATATTTTTTTGTTTATGAATGAGGTCAGACTTTTCTGTGCTATTTGCCCAGACATCTTTTATTCAAACCAAAATTTTCTATTCTTGACCAGTATTTGTTTTCCGCCTCCGTTATTTCGGAAAACGAGCGCTTCTGTCAGCAACACAGTTAGGCGTCATTCGCAGCGGATGTTGAACTGGTCCTGTTTTGATAGACCTTTCTTAAATTCTAACCTGACGAATCTTTCATGGGCTTTTTCAGATTTCAGCTGTTTTTTTCTCAATAGATTCAAAACAACAAGAATCTATTGGAGATTGTTTTATAGGTAATGTTTTTTTACAGATAATTTTAACCCAAGTTCCATAAAACGTAGCAAATTTGTTGAAAGCTAATATAAATATAACTCACTGTTGGTTTTCTGATTCGATTGTTTTCGGTGTTCTTTCTTTTTCCAATTCGTCTGATTTAATCGTCTTCAAAAGTTGTTCTGTTTTCTCTCGTGGGGACTCGCCAAAGGTTATTCGTCATGCTACCTATCGACCAAGGCTTGAAGCATCGGAATTGTCTTCTCGTGTTTGTAATAAATAATCAAGTTCAAAGCAGCAGCGTTGAACTTAATGAGGTAATGTTTCACCCGATTCAGCGACTTTTAAACTGTTTTCTAGCTCTTACTTTGAGACAGGTTTTTAAATTTGACGGATAAGCAGTAATAAATTATCACTTTTGGAAAAAAAAAGCGTAATTTTTAGGATTTTGATTTACTCGAGGCAATTGGATTCTGCTATCAGAGTGGGCGATTAGACTCTTCTTGCCAGCTTTAACTCAGCGAAGTACCTAAAATTGCATTAAAAATGTTCACTAAGCTCGGTTACTTCCCATTCTTTGACAGTCTTTGGTACAATAAGAATAAAAGTGAAATGAATAGGGTGAGTCTAATATCTGAATGAGAATTTTTAAGGAACAGACAGTTCTTTTTGAATATTTAAGATTTTGAGATAATTTCAAAGAGCTAATGATTGATCAAGCCGCTAGTTGCTTTTGATTGAACGAGGTATTCGTCATAAAATGATATGGATCTTAGTCGGTAGAGCAGACTTACTTGTCCGCGATATGTAGAGGGATCAAATATCAGTTGGGAACACTTGTTCATGGAGACTCAGATATTAATCTGTTGACTTTTAGCTGCTGAACATTTCGAAGTGCTTAGACATTTGAAAATAAATTTTTAAACGCCTATTTTTTATTAAACCATTCCCTACCCACCACATAGCCTTCCTGGAGAGGGGAAGGGTCTCATCCAGTTTGCTGTAACCGACTGGGACCTAGGGTTCCCAATGTCATCCGTCATCTCAAGGGTCACCGCGACAACTCGCAACAAAAGACAACTTGCTGAACTGACTTTAAGGGAAGTTTCAAGTGCCAATTAGCTGTTATTATCTACAGTGGTAGAGATTCTTTTGCAGTTACCATAGGACGCGATTGTTAAATTGATCCAAAAACCCTCTGTTCTGTTTAGGCGTGTCTCTGGCAGGGCCAATTGCTTCTACTCCTCGCGACAGAAATATTTCACTGCCGACATTGGACTGCCAAGTAACTCCTTTCGCGCGAGACCTTGAAAAGTACAAACATGCTCAAGAAAACAATGGTTTTGAAACTCATGTACAAGAAGCAAATGTGAGTGTTAGCCTTGCAAACCTGAAAGAAGCTGTCAAAAGTTTGACTCAAGAGCATCGTCAACATATAATTGACGAGCTGTTAGTTCTAAATAGGGATGAAAAGGCGACAGAACAGGCGTCGGCAATTGAAGGGCAAACATTGAATAATGCATCAACTAATCTGGAAAAAGCAGTTGAAGATATTGACGACCTTTTTGAATCCCAATCGAATGAGAGGTTAGTTCACTCTCAAGAAGAATCAGTTACTGTGACTGAAGTTTCGCAGGTGTTTAGTCCTCCTGTCGATGATATCAAATCAGGATCCGAAGCGGATAAAGTACACGTGTTTTATGCTGATGAGATTTGTAAAATTTTATCAGATACAAACATTCCGTTTTTCAAATATTATAAACCGAATGAAACGACCCAAGATTCGAAAGCCAGTGGCTTGGTATTGCAGGATAATTTGGAAAAATTAGGAACAATTCATGGAACTTTCATTAGTTTAAAAACGCAAATAGATAGTTTTCATTCTTACAAAGAAGATTTTGCCAAGCAATTAGCTAGTTTGACCCAGGAAAAGGAAACCTTATTAAATGAATATAATTCGATGGAACATCAATTAGCTGTTTACATTCGAGATAAACATCATTTTGAAAATGAAACTATTCGTTTGAATGAAGAAAATAAGTCTGTTTGCGAATCTCTTAAAGCTAGTCAAACAGAGACTGATCGATTAGGCGATGAAATCAAAGTTCTAAATGAACTAGTTACTAAAAAAGAATCCGAAGCTTCTGAGTTGTCTAAAGAACTTGAGATAATAAAACAGCAACTAGGCGATATAGAAACAGAGAATGCTCGTTTAGCAGAAAAAATGGATCCCTTACAAGAACAACTGTACGTTAAAGATTCGGAAAACGACGAATTAGCCGACGATGTTAAAAGATTGAAGGAAATAATACAAGATCAGGAAATTGCTTCGGCTAAAATAACGAAGGAGATCAGTTCGTTACATGAACAATTGAATGGCAAAGAAATAGAAAATTTTGAGTTAGCTCGAGAAATTCAAAGCCTGAAGAAAAAAGTAGAAGTCAAAGAAAATGAAACTGTGCAATTAGCCGACAAATTGGAATCCTCTACTGAGCTGTTGGGTGTTAAAGAAACAGAAAATGCGCAGTTAGCCGAAAAGATACAATCATTAAATGTGGACTTATCAGATCAAGAAGCATATTCGGCTAAATTAAGCGAAGAAATAATCGTGCTTAAAGATACCAAAGACAACAAAGAAACAAAGGTGGCGCTAATAGAAGAAAAACTAGAACTCTTGAATGAACAGTTGAGTAAAAAAGAAGCAGAACATGAAAAATTAACCGAAGAGATAAGAACGTTAAACGAAACTCTGGAAGCCAAAGAAGACGAAAATTTGAAATTAGCCGAAACTTTAGGTGCATTAAATGAGGATTTGGGTACTAAAAACACAGAAGTTTCCCAATTAGCAGAAAACTTGACAACGCTAAATCACCAGCTTGCGATCAGAGAAGCCGAAAATACTAAATTAGCAAATGAAGTTAAAGAACTGAGCGAACTTCTGACTATCAAAGAATCGGATTTGATGGGAAATTCAATTAAGTTGGAGAGTTTAATCGCAGAACTCGACGCTACACGAGAAAGTTTTGCTGAATTATCGGCCAATTTTGAAAATCAAAAATTGTTGCTTGAAAAATTGAACTTAGAAAAAAGCGAGTTGTCTACTAAAAATGAAGATTTAAATGCTACTTGCTTAGCTTTAGAAAATTGTAGAAATAATGCAGAGACTACTGCACTAGAACTGAAAAATAACCTACGTGCTAAGACCTCGGATCTGACTACACTAAATGAACAATATTCAAAAATGGTCAACAAATTAGACGATTCTTTAGTGTTAGTGGATCGCTTTCAAAACGAGGTCCAAGTTTTGAACGGTAAAATTTGTGCCATGGAACAACAAATGGTAAAATCTGAACAAATTGATAATTTTGCTCAAACTGAAAGTGATATTGGCGAAACTTCGCGAGTAAAATTAGACAACTTTAAAGTGATAATGCATGATGGTATTGAAGAACAGCTTGTACGATTGTTAGTTCAAAATGCAATCAGTGACGCAGTTCTAGATCAAAAAGCAGATCAGATCCGAAAACTTCTGAAAAATTTCCAGGAAATTCAACAGAATTCACATGTAGATTTCGAGAACCTGAGTTCAGAATTCAAAATAAGCAAAGCTAAAATTGACTCTTTAGAAGCCGAAAAGAAAGGCTTAGAATCCAATTTGGAAAGTTTCAAGGTTGACGTTGAAAATTCAGTGGCTACAATTGCTAATAAAGATAGCGAAATTAATGACTTGAAGCAACGTTTGACGACAGTAGAATCTTTGAAAGACGAATTTCAGAAAAACAACGATTTTTTAGTCGATGATAACAATGAGCTAAAAGCTAAAATAGATGAATTGGAAAACGAAAAAAGTACGCTCAATGAGATGACTAATTTGTATCGGAGCGAAATTTTGGGGCTTCAAACTGATCTTACTGAAACGAAGGAATCCGAAAAAACGCTTAATGAAAAGGTAATAGCGTTGACCTCTGAAGCCGAAAATCTCAAGGAAGTTAAAGTTGCGCTACAGGTCAAGTGCAAAAGATACGAAGATCAAATTGAAGAGTTTTCAGATAAAATCGCAAAGTTAACTGAGGAAAACTTATCTGATTCTGAAATAATTGAGAACATCAAATTTGAAAATAAAACGCTGAGTGAAGAATTAGATCTAAAAATCCAGAATTTCTTAGCACTTGAAAAGTTGAAAGAGTTTTCAGAAGCTGAAAACTTCGAGTTGAAAGAAAAAATAGAAAGTCTGCATACCGAAAATGTTAAACAAAAAGAAGCCATCACAAGTTTGGAGGTCGAAATTTCGAATTTGAAGAATGTAATAGAAATCGCCCGCTCAGAAAAGGAAACGCTAGAGGCTCAAATAACTGATCTGGAAAAGTCTGTTGCCATCAAAGAAGAAGAAAATCAAATTCTGTGTGCAGATTGTGAAAAATTGAAGAAAACATTAACTGATTTGAATTGCGAAAAAGAACGTTGCATTGAACAGCAAAACGCCATGCGAAATGATTTTGAAGAACAGAAAGCTCACCTGATTACGAAGATCGATGAGTTAGAGAGCGAAAAGTTAGAAAAAGTGGACCAAATAGACGCCCGTCTTAAAGTAGCTAATAATGAAGTATCAGCTTTAAAAGAATCACATTCTGCTTCTGAAGAAAAAATCAAAGAATTAGAGCAAGAAAAATTGAAACGGGATAAAGTGATATCATTATTCGAGGAGGAAAAAATAACAGATCAGCTGAAAATTGTGAATTTAGAAAGCGAAAATGATAACTTGAAACAAGAGATAAAAGGTATGGAACATAAACTTGGTCAAAAAGAACACAAATCAAGACAGTTGGAAGAAAGTTTGGAATTAATCCAGTTAATGAAATGTGAAAAAGCGATGGTCGATGAAAAAATTTTGTCATATCAAAATGACATCGACATTTTAACGAACGAAAATCATGAAATGAATGTTTCGTTTAAAATATTCAAAGAAAATATTCAAAGTTTAGAAGTCAAATGCGAAGGCATCCTTGAAAAGGTCAAGCCTGATTTTGAATCAGACTGTTTAAATGATAGTGATACTTCTGAAGACATAAATTTTCCAAATATTTACAAATTAATTGAATCTTTTCCTGAGGTTTTGGAAAGTAAATGCTCCGAAATTGGAGTTTTAAAGGATGAAATTAAACGTTTGACGGAAATCAATGACTCACTTGTTTTAGAAAGTTTAGAAAACGAAGGTGTTACTCAATCAAGTAACACTGCCGGTTTGAAACCAATTTTGGAGGATAATGTTTTGAATTTGAACTTAACCGACCTTGATCAAGAATCGCCCACAAGAAATTGTGCAGTTGATAATCAAAAAACTTACAGCCGATTTCCGAACGAAGAAGAATCGAGAAGCGATAGTTCCAAATCAGCTGTAAACTCCGACGACCTTGACGAAGATGCCATTGACCGAAAAGATGTTCACGTTGAACGCGTTGACGTAGCTGCAGTCGTGTCGACCAAAAATTACGTCACCGAATCTCCAATTTTTTGCAGCAGTGAAACTTCAAATTTTCTCCTTGCGGCCACAGGAAACGAAAATTTTGAAACCGTTGAAAACGAAAATTGCGAATCTGTTGAACGTGCAGACGGCCGACAGGAAATGAAGCCGAAAACGGGAGTGTTTTCAATCATTGACCCGAACGTGGCCGAAGGAATGACGTCATTTTCGACCCCATTCGTGGACGAAGTGTTGAAAGCTAGCCCGAGAAAGCGACTGTGTGGGAATGAAGCTTGTAACAGGGAAGTGCTGAAGTTGATGACTAAATTTGACGAGCAGATGGCAAATCAGAGTGCGATTTGTGAACGAAGAGCGAGGGAGATCACAGAGTTGAATGAGCTGGTGAATCTACTGCAGAAAGACTTGAACCAGACCCGAAAGCAGAAGTAAGTTTCCTTTTGCTAATAAAAACCAAGTTCAGAGCAAAATTGTATGATTTTTAAAAAAAATTACTAAGCTAGAAGCAAAAATGTATGAATTTTTTTTATAAATAATTCATCTCCTATGAAGCAAAGGTTTTTTTTTGGTATTCTAATGAGTTTTATGTCCTGTTGTGAAACTAATTAGCATTATTTCTTCCTGAATGTCATTAGAAGAGCACAAGTTTTATGTCTTGGTATGAATGGCTTTAAAAAGTCATTAACAGTGAATTTTTTTCGACACAATTAAATCAAGTTTAATTATTTGATTTTATTTAATCAAACAAAATCACACTTCCACTCCATTTGGCTTAGCATGAAGAGATGAATACAAAATGAATGTATTGTTTTCTGTTTGCAATTTACGTTAAAAAATTATTGTCTGCAAATTATGTCTTATGTTTAGCGAAGACATAGTTGTCGAGCATGATGCAGTTGTCGATGTGCTGGACCAAGTTGCCAAGGAACAAATGGATACTCTTCGGATCCTGACATCCCATTTGTCCAACTACGAACCTCGGTGTGCCAATGATGAGGCTACTAATAGAAACACAAATCAAAGCGAAACACCTACTCGCGATGTTGAGGATCCCTCTGCTCTGACTTCTGCTCGAGATGACGTAGCTGGAGATTCTAGAAGGTTCTCGTCTTTGGGACTGATGGCCGCGTCTCAGTTGGCATGTGTAGCTGGGGGTCTGAGAGCGACTAGGTTTAGAACGGCTGATGAAATTGCCAACTGGGATATGGAGTCTTTGTCTCGTGAGTGTTGTTCTTAATGCTTTGAATCCATAATATATATTTTCTTACTAGTGATGGGTACAGTTGCGTTTGAACTTGTTGAATGATGATCTACGAACGATGAATTGCGAATTTGTTTCAATTATTTTAATGATTTTATTGAATCTACTAAGTCAACATAGTTCAATACTGAGTTTGCAAAATTTTGGCTACAGATATCATTTACAAAATCTCTGGAACCTATTTAGCCCCTGAAAGTAAGGTAAAATTTTGAACCTTTCCTGAAATTTAATTTTTTTTTTAGTTTCTTTTTTGTTTTCACGTGTGATTTTCTCAGGATCGCCTTTTGAGGAGAAACCATCGACAGGTAAATCAAAAAACCATTTGTTTTAGAGTCGTCTGATTGTTTTAGTTTGAACAGCATGATTTTCAATGAGTTCACTCGCCAGAGAATGAATTTATGATTGCAGAGAATAATTTTTTTGAATAAGATTTTTTTGCGAGCTTGGGAATTCTGTCTGTCGTCCCCACCCATGGTATCAAGTCGAGAAGACTAATTCATAAAATACTAGTTCAAATGTCAAGGCCCTGGTGTATGAAAGGTACGAATTTTGGCCCTGGTGACGACTCGCCCGCGTAGTGGGAAAGAGAGATAGCTAAGCTGGTCCAAGTTTGGTTGAGTATCAATTATAACTGATCCTTTCAAACTTTCAGAATGTTAAACTAAGCGTGCCCATGTAATAATTTCAATTTCTGGTGAATTTATTTGGTCTTAGCTTGAATTAGTTTTTAGTATTTGTATTTTAAAATTGGAATTTTAACCAGTAATTGATTCCGTGTTTGTTTTGCAGCCAATGCGACTTGTGGCAGCATCGACCTTAGTTTTCACAGCAACAACAACGAGGACAACAGTGCAGACTGGGACACCAGATCGGCCACTCCAGCCGGTAGCTCCACCGGCCGAACTTACAAAGCAGGTATGTCTTCACAGTTCCATCTTATCTCTAGCCAGGGGCGGATTTAGAAGGGGGGACGCGCTCCCCTCCCCCCTCAGGGATTCGACCCTCTGCCGACCCAAAGGGTTCCCCCTTTTACAGACCTATTAATTTTGACAAGCATTTTTAAGTGTTAATGAAGAAAAAATTTATCACTCGTTCAGGTCTTTTATATTTTTTTCTGGAGGAAATCTTGAAAATTGCACGCGCTCATTTTGACGTTGTTTTTTGCGATGTGGCTCTTGATTTCTTGCTAATTACACTTGCGATCAGTTTTGAGTATTATTACGAACTTCTTTTTTTCCAACCTAACAAGCAAATACAAGTGTTCATGAAAAGTGGAAATTTACTTAATTGGAAATTTTTTGTTGCATTGGAAATGGCATAGCATCTGCTCTCTGCTTTTTTTGTTGCTAGTGTTTGGTTCCTATTAAGCTTCCGTTGCTGAATGGTTAGTGTGAGAGGCTCTGAATCTCTAGGTCGCAGGTTCGGATTTCAGAGGTAGCCGACTTTTTACTAAAACGAGGCTCATTTCAAATTTTTATTAGTGCATTTTATAGAGCGGCTTTTTGTCGTGTTCTCGTTAGTGTTTGCGAAGCCCAGCTTCGCATCTGTGTTACAGTTCAAATTTAATTGCAGCATAACGCTCTCCAGTAATAGAAAAGTAGTTGGTGCGAAAACTTTCAAATGACCTTAAGTTTCAAAGATGGACTTTATTCTTCAGAATTCCCAACGGAACAAAGTTACCTTGTGTATTACCTTTTGACCAACTGTCTTTATTGAGTTAGTTTTATTCTGTGTCAATGAATGTACTGAAGACACTTATATAAGTCCTGATAATTTTTTATACTGTTATTATTTCTGTAAAGTTTTCTGTTCACGCCTAATTTGAGTTTTTGTGGTTTGACTTTTGATTTCTTTTAAGTTCAATTCCAAATAGTTTACCAAAAGGAAATAAATTTACGCTCATCAATTACTAAGAAGAAATGGACTCGAAGAAGTGTGGAATTTTTTAGTTTAGAATTTTACCTTTTGATCAACTTTTCTCACGATGGGTTAATTTTATCAAAACACTGTTCATCATAAATCATAAATTTATTATTATTTTTTGAAAATTGATAGTTGGATGATTGCTTTTTAATTAAAATTCGTTATACTTTTATATAGGTCGTGATAATTGTTTTAATTTATTTTTCTGGAAAGGTCTTAAAATTTGTTCATGATCCAACTTAGATTTTTTCGCGCTTTGATTTTTTTTCAAGTTCAATTCATTTCTATTGCTAGAAGGCAGGCAAAATTCACTATTGAACAGCGAAAGTGTAAAGGTCGCGAAACACATGGTTGACATTTGGTTTCGAAAATGGCTTCAAATCATCAGATTTCCCAGTGAAATAAAAAATTTACCTATTGATCCAGTTTTCTCAAATTGGATTAAGTTTATCAAAAAAGCGCCAATCATAAATGATTCCAGAAATTCAAAGAGCTTTAAGAGCTTCTTTTTTTCTGTGAAATTCGAACGCTGAGATTTTTCAAAAAAAATCAAGTATTTTTTTCTGTTTAAATGCGGTCATTGACTCTTTTCTAACTCTCTTTGGGCCATGTTTTTACTTGCTAGAGGAATTGACTTGTTATCGGTAACTAGACTTTTTAACGTAAACATCCTTCACAAATCTGTAAAAAAATTAAATATGCTTTTTATGTCACCATAACAACTTCCATGCCAATTCCCTTTTCGTCTATTGAAAAAGCTGATCGAATTTCGGTCGGATATTCTTTTTTTCGATAATTTTGAAATGAATTTTTTTCCGGGGGAAACTTGAATTCTCGGGCTATCGTTTATTCGCTCATTTTTTGTCTGCTGAAGTTTCGGAACATGGAATTTTCTTCAGGCTCAAAATTTTTTTACTATAATTGAAAGCGTTGCTGTAATTTTTAGATTTTCTAACTATGATTTTGATTAAGTTCCTTTTTAATTTCACATAAATAGTTTCGGCATTTTACCTTTCCTTGCTTCTCTTATATTTAGGCATTACCCTTACAAGAAGTAAGGATGTTGTAACCAGGTTCATGCCATGATTGTACTTGCCATTGGCTAGAGTTATTAATTTGAAATCTAGTCTTTTTCTAGTAAACATCTTGTCTTACAAAACCACTGGATCGTTTTCTCAAATCTGCACTTTCGTCAACCAACAGACATAGTTTGAGCATGTTTCATTCCGTTCCATTCAATTTTTTTATGTTGGTTTAAAATTTACCAACTCCGGCTCATTATAACTTTTTTCGTTTCTCTTGTTTTTTGTTTGTCTACTGATTGAAAGTTTTTTTTCGGTATTTATTTATTCGGCTTAGTTGCATAATTTTCAGCGAAACAAATTTCAAATGCGTGTTAGTAGCTTGAGGGGGTAATTTAATTTTTTTTTCGAAAGTTTTCAAGTTTTGCTCAAAAATTGTCTTTAATACTGCTTTGTTTCTATACAAATAGATTCAACTTTTTTGATATCTTCAAGACTTTGTTTGACTTAGCGGCTTTTGTTTCATTTTCGTTCTGCTAGTTTTTCATTCTATTTTTGTGTTGTATCGCAAGTGGTGCGAAGCTCTGCTTTGCCTCTGTGTGGTTAAAGCGCAAAAATAGATTTTTTTGCTTCAGTACTTTTGGGGACAAATTCCAATTGAAATCATCCAAAAAGCAGAGTAGATTCTTCGAAAGTAAAAAGCTGTTTGTGTTAGAAGCGTGTGTTCAATGCAAGTTTGTTATGTTAATGATGAGAAGTTGTTTGTTTCAGTAAGTGGTGGAAACAGAGTTCGAAGAAGGAGTGTTGGACTGGCCAGAAACTTGACCCAATATACCATTGAGAACACAGAGGGATTGCTGGGCGATGTAATGCTACACAAAGTCGTCCTAAGTCAGTATTGTGCATTGTTTTGTTAGGGTCGTCAGTGATGTTTTTTTCTGTAGTTTATTTAAATTATCTTAAACATAGACTTGGGTTAGTTTTTCGAAAGATGTTTCTGCACTTTTTTTTAGTTCAAAACATCAAAAAGCTTAATGATTATCATCAATTTGAGAGAGATATTTTCTGTTCGAATCATTTGTGCTTTCCATTACTAAGAAGGTAGTTTATGACACTGCAACGGATCATTTTTTTGTTCAGGCTCTGTTGAATGTCTTTTTTTTTCTTTTACGCTACCGTGATTCATCTGCTCTCTATTGTTCTGTAAAATGAGCCAGCACAATTCCAATGGTGTGTAATTATGCAAAGCTTTTTGTTTCGTACAAAGCTGTCTTTGCATTATGGTAAGAATTTTTCTATTATCCGAGCACTCGCTTAATCGAATATTAAATTTTTTAATTCTTGGTTTTTTTTTTTTAATTTTTGTTTTTTTTCTCTGAAATTATAATTTTTTTATTAGTTTAAGTTTTTAATGGTTTTTTCTTCTTTTAAAAATGTTTTCAAATTTTTAAATGGTTTTTTCTTCTTTAAGTGTACATTTTATGGTTAAAAAGGTGATGAAGATCATTATACTTTCTGTGAAATTTTGTAAAAGATCTGATTTTATGAAAGTTCCCCGTTCTGGATGCAGTATTTTGATTCCACAAACCTTTTTTTTAAATAAGCCATTTTAATCCGCTTCAAATCCGACATTTCATTTAAAGGTGCCTTTTTTGTTTGTTTTTTTCCTGTTCTGTTGGTTAAGTACTCTTTGAAACATAGAACAACTGACTTCCGTTTTCTGCTCCTGTCTTAGTTTAAAACTGTCTGCCTTCTTTTTTGTGATGGAAAACATTTATTAACTTTCTAATTGAGGATTTATTATTTGACCTGCACAAAGCGGCCGATTAAAATGTTTTCATCTGTTGTTTTTACCTGCAGCCGTTGATTTCATTGGAATGGTATAGAAAGGTAAGCCGAATTAAGCAAAAAATGTCATTCCTCTTTCATACGAAACTTTCTTGCAAGGTTTCGGCGATTGTGCATTTAAAATTACCTCCCCTAATTTGAATCATATTGCTTATGTTGGTTGAGTATGCTGAGTTTTCTTACAGCACGTTTTTTCCAAATTTGATTTTCATGAACTCCTCGTTAGAAGAATGAAAAATCGCAATTTCTTTCAAATTCACTAAATTGTTTCAAACAGGTAAAAAATGGTATTGGAATGTTGCCGTAGCATGCATGAATAAATACAGTGCGTATTAGCTAGTGAGACATTTGGGCGTGTTTTTTAGGCTCCAGTCAGGAACTGAAAAGCTGCGCGGAATCCCTTCTGCAGAAACTAACCAGCGATGTTAGAGAAAAGGTAGAATAGATTCAAAGTGATATTTTTCAAAACAGTTCAATTGGTATGGTTTGTTAACGTTGAAAAATAAAGAATTCTTAACGTTCGCCACAATTTTTTGAATTAGATATAAGAGTTTTAGTCAACAATCCCCAAAAAGGTCTAAAAATTATCAACATATATTTTAAAAGTTCTAGTCGGTAAAAAATATTCCTTGTTCCCTGCCTTTTTCCTATAACTTATTTTTGCGTTTTCAACATTGCAATTATTAATTAACACGATAATAAAAGTATGGATATAATAAAAAACCTTGATTTATTTTTATGACACCAGGAAACGAGACTAAACGAACATCTGAAGTTACAAACAACAAAAGTTCTAACCGATGTGCATGTGGCAGTCAATAAAATTGTAAACTACTTCACGAAAACTCTTCAGACACTATTTCCGAAGCAAACATTCCAAACTGCAAAATACATTCGAACACTGAAAGAAATGGACAACTTATACGAAGATGGAAATCACGAGGAACCACAAATGTCGCCCGGGAAGCCCCTGGACAACAATGCTAATGAAGTCGACGGGAATCCGACTGAAGGCCTCCAAGATCGTGTTCTGAAGTCGGATGTTCCTCTGTCGCCTTCGAAAGTCGGGAACCCTGTTATTTTGATGGAAACTCTGGAGTGCATTAAAATGGACCTTGCGATGCATGAAAGTGACATTAAAGAACTGAAAGGTAAAACAGAACTGTTGTCGGGACTCGAATTATCTCACGATGAATTGAAAGAAGATTTGAGTCAAAAATCGGACGAGATTTTGCGTCTTCAAGAAGAAATGGACGAACTTCTGACGAGGAATAAAGAACAAGGAATGGCGTTGGAAAATTTGAAGCATAAAATGACAGAATTGAGTGAGTTCAAAGCAAAACTGGTAGCCGAAAAAGTTGAGTTAGAAGAAACCATTGACCGAATGAGACAGGAGAATGATGGGGAGAGTTTGGCTCGAGTGGAGGATATTAAGCGCCAGAATGAAGATTGTCTAAGAGAGGTTAGAATTAACAGCGAGCAATATTTTGTTTTTCGATCACAGGTGAAAAAAGAACTATTCGCGTTGGGATAGATGGGATAATTGTTTTTATTCGTCGGTTTTCTTAAATAGCAAATATTATGCAGGCAATATAGCAAATATATGAGCTGTAGGCTTTTTCACAGTGAAATTTAATGTGACCTTTTCTTGATAATGAAAATAGTAACTTAATATATGATTTCTCAAAATCTAAATACTCCCATAGCTCGAGCTTTTGAAAGAATGGACCTACGTTACGGAAAGTTATCCCTACCTGAATAAAATTTTTGAAATATCATAATTGATCTTTGTTTGGCTGACATTGAAAACACGTTTTGCTTGAGTTTACGAATCGCCATTTTTTGAACAAGGCAATTGCAATTTTTTCAGGTGTTGGGTGAATTGAGTGTGATCAAGACTAGTATCGGCGAGAAGGACTCCCAAATTCAGAGACTGAAGGGCGAAATAGTCATTCTCTCTGAGAAGTTGAGCGACCATCTAGCCGATGAGTTGACCAGGGACCAAATTGACAGTGCCTCACAGGTAAGATTTAGATCACGTTAACATTTCATTTCATCTTCTGAAATAATTCTTGTTTTCGTTTCTCATGTCAGAATAGCTGAATGATAATTTAAGAAACAATGGTTTCCACCGGATTAGGTCCAAGATTTAGGGCAGAGATTGAGTGAAATAGTGATTATTTTCTCGAAATTTATTCTGCAGGCTAATATTTTATAGTTCATTTTTTGCACTCACTATTGAGAAGTTAATGCATGTTAGCTTGAAAAGGCTCGCTCTATCTCGGTTATAAATCCTAGAACATCCTTGTTAATCCTAGGACCTCTTTTATCATTTTGCTCCAGTTATATAGAAGTGTGTGTTGCAGGAACTGACTTTGGAAGACTCGCTTTCACGACTCACAGCTCTAGTTGACAAAAACGCACAAGCCATTCTCAAGTTCAAATCGCAAGAAGTGATCTTGGAGAAACTGCAAATATCAAATGCGCAGTTAATTGAGCTAGTCGACAGCAAGACTACTAAAATAGGCGAAATGGAATTAAAGCTAGAAGATGTAGACTCCATTTACGCAACATTGGAACAGAGAAATCAGGAGTTTTCAGATTTGAAACAGAAAATGGAAGACGAAAACAATTATTTACATGGAGATATCGAAAAACTGAAGGTTGAGTTAAAGCAAGCTGAAGAAAATATGACGGACAACGATTTACGCCACCAAGAAACGGTTGAATTTATGGGCCAGCAAATTGAAGAACTTCAAATTTCGCTTCAAGATCGAGACGAGAAAATAACTCGCGTTCAAACAAAACTGGATTCGCTTGTGGAATGGTTTAATAATTCCCGAAGTAAACCAGAAAGACGAAAGAGTTTGGTTTTGGAAAACGAGCCAAATGAAAGACTTGACGTTGAAGTGCCAAATTTAAGCGCGATTGGAGATATCGATCATCCAATTGCAGTAACGATTGAAATGTTGAAACAAAGTATAGAAGAGAACCGAAAAGATATTATAAAATACGAAGGGAGTAATGAGAAATTCGAAGCGATTGAATTGGATAATAAGCGACTTAGGAGTAAAATGGAAGCTAATTTGGAAGAGTTGCAGAGACTGAAAAGTGAAGTTGATCAGTTTGCGAGGAATAATGAGAAGTTGAAGTCGATGTGTGAGAAATTTGAAGACCAACAGACCCAGTTTGAAGTGTACGTTTTTTGAGATAAAAAATCAGGGGAGCATCTTATTTTTTTGCCCCCTTCTTAGAGTCAACAAATTTGTAGAGCTCGCCCTAAAAAACCGATACATACCTAATTTGAAAAAAGAATTATTTCACAGGCGATTTTTTTGAAATTTTGTTAAACATGCCGGTTTTGAAGAAATTCTGAAGCCCAAAAAATTTGTTATTTGGCACCAGATACCCTTTCATTTTTAATTATCTGATACCGACCAAAAAGGATAGTTTGTGGAATGTTTATCAGCTGAACTGCTGAAATTATTGTTTGTTTTCAGTTTGAAATCGGAGTTGGAACATGACAAGGAAGCGGCCATTGTGTCCCTGGATTCTGCCAAACGGGCTCTAGAGGAGGAGCAGAGGGGGAGGGCAGAAGTGGCGGAGAGAAGTCACGTGGACATCAGTGGACTGAAGGAACAGATAGAACAATTGAGAGACGAACTGCTGCTGTCTCAAAAGTGAGATTGATTTGTTGTTCCCACAACTTCACGTGTGTTTTACCCCTATTTTGGACCAAGAATTGTATCATTTGACTTCCTCAAGCAAAGCTCCTAGGGGCTAAATATGGTATACTATTGAATTCGTTTCAGCCGTGATTTGCATTTGATAAATAAAATCAAAAAATTTTCTTGGTGTTGAGAAAATTGGTCTAGATTTTTCAGATTTTCAGGCCAAATTTCCTGAAATTTGGTGACACTGACTATTCTATTTTGATGACGCTCACTTTACATCAACTTTAATCCTCTACGTTCTTCTAGCTTAATTAACTCTCGCTCTGCAGTTTTTTCCTTAATTGAATCGCCATTTACTACAAAAAATCAACAATAAATCTAGAAAAAAAATCGTAAATTGCAAAATTTTTTTGAGTTTCCAAAATTTTTTATTACATTTATTTTTTAGTTTTTTCACTCAAATCATAATGGCTGGCACATTCTGTGCTGCTAGCAGAGAAACCTGCTATTCTTGTTTCAATTCGTTTTTGAATATTTTTCCACGAACGATAGCCTTCTGAGACACTTTAAACAGCTGTCAGTTTAAGCCTCTTTTCAAATTCGAATGCAAGTGGAAATTAGAAATAAACACATTAACTTTGAAACTGTTTTTATAATTTTTTTTTGCTTTGCTGTAAAAATGTTTATCTAATGATTGAAATTTGTTATTTTTCTGTTATTAGTGACGCAGGGTTAGTTCTCAGTTTTAGCTGTAGACATTCACCCTATCTCATCAATCAACCTTATCTGTAGCAGCTCGTCACTATTTAAGCCTCGTGAAGAGTTCTTGTCTTAAATATTACAGCTCTTCTTTAATTTTGAGACAATAGTTTTGGTTAAAAAAAGTTTTTATGCTGTTAACAAAATCAAATTTGACGGATTTTCTTGCCATCTGTATTCTCATGAAACTAAACTTTACAGCGTGCAATCAATGATTTTACGATGTGCTGACGGAAAAGCCCATATACCCTTAACATCGCTTTTCACTTTATGTATCATTACATATCATTAGACATATCTGAAATTGCGCCGGTCTTTTCTGCTTTTTCTCAAAAAGTTTACCCGTTCAATTTACTTTACAGGCTGTTATGGCTAAATGTTTGATTTTAGCTGCAAAGTAAGAACAACGAATGTGCTCAGGATAGTTAACTCGGTCAGCATGCAAATTTTTGTTACATAATAACGAGGTCGAATTCATTTTTAAATTTCATTTTCAAGGTTGAATTTGTAGGAGGGGGGGGGATAACCAAATGCGCCAATATTTAATTATGCTCCAGCAATTATTCATTAACAGGTATGTGTCCGAGTTGTCGCTTATCCGAGACAACCACGAGGAGAACTCGAAGCTACTCAAACAGGAGTTGAATGCTAAATTGCAACAGAAAGAATCCACAATAAGAACTTTGCAAACCACCAATCAGGTTAGTCGCCGAAATCATTCTAGACTGTTTTTTTTTTTGTTCCGAAGTAGGATTTTATTGATTCATCGGTTTTTGGTTTTGTTCAAAGTGAGGTAGAATTATGGCGTCGATTGTTTTTGAACCCGATTTTAGGGCCAGCAAAAAACATCGTAAGGTGTTTATTGTGGTATCATAGTAATTGTATTAGCGTCACTCCGAATCCAATAAAGTTCCATTTCCAATTCAGCTAGTTATCTCCATGTCGAGAAAAAACTGGTCCGAATTTCAAGCTGTTCAGGCACATTTAGGTAAAAGCTGAAGTGTTCATTTTCAGCCATTTACACTAGCGAGCTTGCGAAGCGTAGTGTATTAGTAGGAACCTTCTTTTTTCTAACCTAACTCGCAAAAAAAGTGTTCACTTATTTGGAAGTTTCACTGTAGCATTGGAAATTGCATAGCATCTGTTCTGTTTTATTTGTGGCTAGTGCTTGGTTACTATTAAGCGTCCGTGGTTAGTGTGTGTGGCATTTACTCTCCAGGTTGCTGGCTGGAATGCCAGATTTAGCCGAATTTTTACTAGTTCGAGGCTTATTTCTTATTTTTCGTATTACACTTCATACAAATGCTTTGTGTCGTGTTCTCGCTGTTTGTTGCGAAGCAAAGCTTCGCCTTCTGTGTAAAATAAGCTATTGTAAGCCTGCATGCTCACTCCCTTTTTGCTCCAACTCAGACTAAAAATCAAAAACTTAAACCTGTTTGGCTCGACTCTGGGACAATTTTTTGAAATTTCTTGATGTTGTTTGAATCACGACTGAAAGGCTATATATCACTTGACACGTTACAATGATTTTTTAGGGTACCTGATTTGGCATCGAAAAAAAACGAAGACAACCTAATACAAAGTTCCTCACCATTTTTCCTATAGTCGGAAAATTTGTTGATTTACTACCACTGTTAATATGATTTGTATTTTTATTAAATAACTAGTTCTCAAAATCAGAAGAGCAGTTCTTCCCCTAAATCATAAACAAAATTGATTTCGTTTTTTGCAATAAAATTTGTTTGAACAGCCTGGCTTATTTGTTTTTTTTTTGCGTTCGCAAATGTAAGGTAATTTCCCTCTCAACCAAGTAACAAGAACTCAACCGCATAACAAGAGTCTAAATGGCAGGAAAACCCTTGATTGTTTTTCAGTTTTCCAAGTGAATTTTGATTTTTTTATATATTTTCACGGGAATGCACAAAAAATTTTCCATGAATCCGTTGTTGTCAAGCTGGGGTAGTTTATTACACAAGCAAACGCTTGTGTTTACAGTTGCGAGAATACTGTTCAAATGCGACTTCGTTTTTTAACCTATATCACAAATATCGGTGCCTCTTTTGGAGGCATTTTTACGTCTTTTTGATAGCATGTGCTTTGAGATTGGATTAGTAATCAGTTTACACAGGTGATACATTTTAACTTGTTAGATAAGCCGACAAAAGCTATTTGTTTCAAACAACACTACAATCATAAAAACTGCATTCAAAAATGTTTCAACTCAATATTTCTGGCAAAGTTAGTGTGGACACCTTCAGTTAAGTGTGTTCCAAATTATTACATGCAAAATTTTGATTTGCCAGTTGTCAATTTACTATTCCTGGCTTAGTATGTTTTCTTTTTTTAAAAATGTTCATTTGGCTTGAATCATTTCGCCTTATTTTTATCGGATTAGGCAACTTATTGTGTCATTTGAAGTTTTTTTGTGGCTCAATGAGCGTCTACTGCTGTATTGTTGGCTAAGTGGTTGCGTGGTGAAAAGTAAAATTTTATTTAGTACTGGTGGTTGCGTTTCTAGATTCGGTTTCCGAAATTTAATTTCACTTTTTCAAAAAAATCATTTTTGACTTTGTTATTTTCATCTCATTTTCTGTTAAAACGTCGTTAATAAAAGTTTTGTAGGGAGAAATTTTTTTCTTTGAAGTTCGAAAGTTGAAAATTGTTCTTTTTCTTGGTTTCCTCAAATTCTTAGACTTTTTCCTAATTTGTGTTTGCTATTTTGGTCTGATTAGTTCAATACTAGACAGAAAATTATCACCATTTTTTATACCTTATTAGCGTGAGAGGACTTTAAAAATCCAAAAAATATGTTTTTTTCCCCATTTTTGACTTTTTTCAAACATTTTCGGGTAATGTGAAGAAAAATCACAGGGGTATTTTTGTGTGTTGTATAGGGGTTGAAAGAGACAAATCTGCAGCTGACAAGTGATAAGAGTGACTTGAAGAGTGCAGCGGAGTCTCTGAAGAGAGAGTGTGACTCATTGGAGAAGCGGTGTGCCCAAGTGGAGCAGGAGAGACTGAAGATCAAGACACAGTACGAACAGGCTCTAAGGTCCCTCTCTATCCCCCCACCCACGCCCAATCTCGCTCTCCAGTCTCCAATCGGTTAGTTTCAAACGTAAATTATTTTTGATTCATTTTTTGTTGGGCGATATATATATATAAAACGCTATAAATTTTGAGTTTTTTTGCAATCCATTTATCATTAATGTTTTCCATTTACATATAACCCAAAACAATGAGAAAAATACAATAGAGGTTTAACTAACAAATTGGCCATATATATAAGATAAAAATAAATGGCCGATTTGTTAGTTTAACCTCTGTTATATTTTACTCATCGTTTTGGGAAAACTTAACTAAATCAAAGTATGAATTGTATTTTGGCAAGTTCGATGTCGCAATTCAAAACTCCTGTTTTTTCAGGAAAAGCGGAATTTTTAAATTTCATTCTGCTGATTACCCTAGCTACCTAACCTTATTTTCTATTAATTTATTTTTGCATGTAAAAGGAAAAAATAAATGGCCAATTTGTTAGTTAAACCTCTATTATATAGAAATTTTTAAATTTGTTTTGAGGTTGTTTTTGAAAGCTCACTACAGATTTGCCTGGTAGTGCCATCATCAAATGGTAGTTTTCTTGAGTCCTTTCTTTTTGCTAAATAAGTTTGAATAAACATAATTTTCTCTCTCCAACAAATTTTTGACAATATAATGAAGAATCATATCAAACAGACTAAGGGCAGACTGTTAAGTGGAAATTATTCCCGTTGTCTGTCCTCGAGTCTCTTTTCATAAAGTAAGGTGCGAGTAAATTCTTGATGTAATTTTTGTTGAATTTTTGTTCCGACTTTCGATACGAACGTAACGGAATATTTGTGCTCGGGGTGGTTTTTTTTTTCAGACAAATTTCGACTTTTTAACTAGCCATTTTGGACGGAATTTTTTTATATCATTCAAAAGCTATTGTTGTCCTGAGCTTGAATTTGAAAATATATTTTAGCTGTGATCATTTTTCATAAAGTTACGGGGGTTTGAAGACTGCCATTTTGGCCAATTTGGGACAATTAACGCGCGACAAATTTCGCGCTATTAACGCGTAAGCGGAGATTTAATCCGTCTTAGAAATTGTTCCAAATTGGTTCAATGATGCTTTTATGCCATAATTGATTTGTTAATAGGCGCAAAATATATCACTTTGTACTTAATATGACGTGTAGGGGGATGTTTTTACATAAAGTCTCAAATTTTTTCAAATTTTTTTTTATTTTATCTATTACATTGAAATTTTTCATTTTATTAATGCTCCATAGACCTTAAAAGGCAGTCGGAACATTCAGGGCTTCGCCCTGATACGAGCAGTCTTGTCTTACTTTGAAATGATTAGGAGAAATAAATTTCTTTCTTTCTCCATATGTAAAAGGAAAAAATAAATGTGAACAAGACTGCTCGTATCAGGGTGAAGCCCTGAATGTTCCGACTGCCTTTTAAGGTTTATGGGCAGTAATAACATAAAAAAAATTGAATGAAATAAAACAAAATGAAAATTTTTTTTCTCAAAAATTTTGAAATTTTTTTGTGAAAATTATCCCCCCAACGCCATATAAAGTACAAAAGGATAGATTTCGTTCCTTGTAACAAATCAATTATGGCAAATAAGCTTCGTTCGACCAATTTGGATTAATTTCTAATACGGATAAATTCTCCGCTTACGCGTTAATAGCGCGAATTATATATTGCTCGTTAATTGTCCCAAATTGGTCAAAATGGCCAACATGACAATCTTTAAACCCTCATAACTTTACGAAAAATGATCACAGGTAAAATATCTTTTCAAATTTAGGCTCAGGACAACAATACCTTTCGAATTATATAAAAAAATCGGTCAAAAATTGCTAGTTGAAAAGTCGAAATTTGGAAGAAAAAAAAACGACCCCGAGCACAAATATTCCGTTACTTTCGTATCGAAAGTCGGAACAAATAGAATGGAAATTATTGTATTTCGATAAGACGACATAGGTTGAAAACAATTAACTAAACAAAAGTGTAAATTTTTGGAAAGCTTCCTTTCTCTATCATAGGTTTTTTTTCGATGAAAGCCTTGATGAAGATATGATTTCATTCCGCCGATTGAAACTCTTTTTAAATTCGGTTAAATTGTCTAGTGATTTGGACTTGGGAACGATGGAATAGGGTAATATGTGCTGCAACCCATCTCGTTGGAAACACAGATATATTGAATCATAAACTTAAAATCATACTAGCGTTTTTATCACCCGTCCTTAAAAAATTCGATTGCGATTAAAAAGTTCATATTATTTCAGAGCTGCCATCGAAAGAAAAAATGCGAGACGACAGTACGATGCTGCTGCTGCAGACTCCGAATCGCCTCAGTCTGGGAGAGTCCCCAGTTGTGGATGCCAAATCACACTCCACCCAATTTTCTCGTCCTGCTGAAACTACCAAGTCGACCCTATCGCCAATTTCAGACTGCAACGAAGGTCAGTTTAACTATAATAATATTAAGTTGTTGTCAAGTTTAGTTTGTTACGAAGATGATATTTTATAATTCATTATTTGCCAACCACCGAACTTGAAAGGAAGCTGAAGGCTTTGCAGCCTGTTTGAAAGCGCCATGTGAAATGATACGATGGCCAATTTAGTACTTAACTATACAATTTGTATTTAAAAATGTCTTTGTAAATACCTTAGATTTTCGGTAGAAAGTTTATAATTTGAAATATTTTTGCCACAAATTTTGTTCAATTTTGATAGTTACCCTGTTGTTAATATTCAAATTTAGTTTTTTGGAACATTAAAAAGCCATATGAAGATTCGCAGTCACAAATTTATAGCTCAAACATCGTTTTAGCGGATGGTCAAAACGCAAATGCGGAAGAGATCAACGTATCAAACGAGTCTGAAGAAATCTACCACAGTTTCAATGATGAGAATGAAATAGAATTGGACGTCGATGATGGCGGGAATCATGGCCCTGGTTTGGAGAGAGGAGGCCCCAGGAATCGGTTTAAAGATGCAGAGAAGATGGAATTGATGGAACTTAACCAGTCGCTGAAGGACTTTATCGTCCAATGCAACAACCTATCTGCTCAGGTAAATAAGCTTAAGCGGACATAGCTGATTTCTGGTTTAATTTTTCTCTCACAATATTTCTGAGTTCTGCTTTTTTATTGGTAATGCGAATAGTTTAATTAGGGTAAAGATGTTTTATCTGACGTTTTAGGCGCTCGACATGACCTCTAAGAATGATTGGCGTCTAGACCTTCTTAAATGTGTGCAGAATATCTTCATACACGAACAACAGCTGATCACTAACGAGGCCAGAACACTCGAAGATAAAATCAACCAATCACATTCCTCCAAATCTTCGAACTCAACTGAGTTGAAAAAATGTAGAGAAGAGTTGGAAAAGTTAAATAAAAGAGTAGAAAGGTTGACAAAAGTCATTCAAGAAGGAGTCTCCCAAATTCGAGTTGCAGATAGAGTTTCTCTGATAAATGAGGTGAAAGATCTGAAGAAACGATTGAACTCGAAGAGCAGTTCGGGGTCAAGAAAGGGGTCAAGCTCAGAGGAACCGAAAGGTCGATCACAAGATTCGTCTATAGTTGCAAAGTTAGTCTATCTATTTTCATTTTGCCGACATGATAGAAAAGCTATTGTGAAAAAACTAGATGCTTTAAAACAGGCAGACTCTAATAATACGAGTCGAGGGCAAGCTGGAAATATTAATCCAATTTTGACTTTGACTTTCAAGTGATCTGAATGTTTGACTTAACATAAGTATTTAGTGTCAGCTATTTAATAGTTCCTGTTATATTTCTGTTTAACTAATATCACAAAATATTGAAGGTGAGTAAGAATTTATTTTGACCCCACTACCTGGAGAAGGCAAAATTTTTAATTTTGAGCAAAATAATGCATCCAATGCATGTCAACCAGAGATTTTAGCTTATGTATTTTTATGTACAAATGTTAAAAAAACGAATAAGTTTTATGACTTTTTCCTTTCAATTTTCGTTCCGAAGTTGTGGAGTAAAAAGGATTCTGGTGTTTTTTCCATTTACCACAAATGAACATATGAAGTTGAGTGATATATAATATTGGAGCTATTAGTGGTGCTACGAACTGCAATGAAGAATACCGAAACTGTATATGATTTCCGCGTTTTCGATGAGTATATTATCTGGTATTTTGTTTTCAGACTTTTTTTTGAAATTGATGTTCCAGGCAATCATTTTAAGCAAATAAACAACCATTAATTTTAAGGACGCCAGTTAATTAGCTGTTGTATAGAGGCCTTCACCCGACGCCCTCATATCAAAAATTGAAAAAAAAGAGTTTTTTTTATGTTAATTGCACAGCAACCAGCTAATGGACTGCTAACCGGCTAAGGTAACTGAGATCCCAATTCGAAGAAGCTTGATATATCTCACGTCGGTGAGAGAAGTGATAAATTAAGCAAGCTTTCTTTCGCAAAGGCTGACACGCTCGTTTTCTTGAAAAGTAAAATTTGAGTACTTGGTTCGTAGGTATAAAGTTTTTGACTTCTTTTTTGAAATAGTTTTTTTTTGTTTTTAGTCGGCTTAATGTTTTTTATTTTGTGTGTAATATTTTTATCCGTGCGATAAGCATAGGTATTGCAATCGGGTAATAGATTTTTTCCCCGTAAACAACTTTGTTCACAGGATGACTGAAATTCGGTCATCTGCATTTTCATTTCGACCGAAGTTGCGCACATATTAGCTGTATTTCAACAACTGTTATAGAGATATTGTAGTGATTCTTGCTTTACAGCTGAAAAAATTTTAGATATAAGTTGATTTGTCGCCTCTATTGATTTTGTCCCAATTTTTGTCAGCTTTCTGGCCGAGTGTGATATTTCTGTAACTTTTTGGTACACTTTTGAATACTTTCTTCTTCATTTGAAATTTTTTTTTCTTTTAACTCGCCCTTCTTTAAGAGTGATGAACGTGGTGAACACTCTCATATAGGTTTTGCTGTTTTTTTTCAGGAATAGTCCTAAAATATGCATAAAAGTCTCTAATAACTACAGATGCGCAATCATACATATTGATGCATTTATGAATGCACTTAGGTATTTATGTTTTTAGTGCAATTGAAGTTCATCTGCTGAAAGTGCTGTAAATAGCACGCTCCAAGTACGAACGTGGAGATGACGCGAAAAAACGTGAACGATTTCTAGTTTTGAAAGTGGAATTTAATTTTTAGATTTCCTGCGGAATAAAAACTTTACCTGTTGATCCAGTTTTCTCAAGTTGGGTTAATGTTATCAGAAAAGCGGCAGTCATAAATCCTTCTAGTAATACAAAGAGCTTAAAGGTCATCGATATTTTTCTTTGAAATTCGAAAATTGATCTTCGAGATTTTTTCAACAAAGTCAGTATTTTTTTTTTCATTTTTACTTGCGTTCATTACTCTTTTCCAATCTTCGATCGACTATAATCATCAGTGTCATTTTTTTTGCTATCGCTAGTGGTGTGAATATCCACTTTGCCTCTGTGTTACGAGATTTACATAACAGTGATTTTATGCACTTCAGGTTGGAGCAGAAAGTGCAGCAGTTGGAGAGTGAGTTGCGTGAACAACAGGTGGTAGGGTGTGATCTAAATACCAGATTGAGACTAGAGAGCGGCAGGTGTGAAGAGGCCACTGACCAGCTGAAGAAACTGAGCAGGGAGTTGAACAAATTGAGAAGTGATCATCACCCGAATAAAGGGGGAGTTGGAGAGGACCCGAACGCGACTTATAGATTAAACGAGGTCAGTGCAGCGTTTTAAGTGTGAATGAACTAAGAGAAGGCACCAATGTAGCTGTTTTATCATTTATTTTATTTTAATGAAAATTTTAATTTAGTTTCATCAGAAATGTTTGCTTGAAAGGGTTTCAAGGTTAGGTTTTTTCTTAGAAACTCGAAAAGTTGAAAAATGTGCAGAAACAATGATTGATAGTTTGTGTTGGATATGTTTTTAAGGGTCAAGCATAAAGCTAATCAGCTTATTGAGGCGTGACTATAAAATTGCCAGCATACAATGAAGTTGGTAAACTAGTTCAACTTTAGCCACGAATTACAGAATAGATTTCAAGTGGAATTTCAAGTCGATCAGCAAAAATCAGCAGGTGCACTGCTAAGTTAGCACGGTGCACCTCTTCAATCCACCTTCACAAGATCTACAGCTCTTTTTGTTAATTAATTGTGGGTCTCAGAAAAGTTCCATTGCTAGTGAATACGTATATAGTGGGCATTATGTAGCAACTTTCAGACTTTTCATTTAAATTTGAAAGAAAGAATAAGATTGATAATGTTAGCATCTTCTGAAATGCGAATCCATTGCTGAGTCTCCGCCTCTTAGTCGAGAGGTAGATGGTTCGAGGCACACCATGTTCCGTGTTAATTGGCTGCAGTCGAGACAGTAATTCTCAGCCCAAAAAAAATTCAGAAAAGTAATTCTGGAGTTCTTAACCAAGTGCTCAATGTTGGTTCTCTATAAAGAGCAGAGTAGCTGTTACGTTAATCCTATCCCCAGTGAATAAAAGATAATAATATAGTGGTTGTCAGTAAATTAAAGAGCTGAAGAGCTCGTTCATTAGTCCTATTTTTAGTAAATATAAGATATTAATATTAATCTTGAGTTTATTTGTCTTCTTAGACTGAGGAGAATCGAGAGATAGGAGGTGGAGAATTGAACCACATGCGGGAGGTCTGTGCTCAGTTGGAGAAGAACCTCGACCAAGAGAAGCAGACCGTGAGAGGTAAGAGTATAGAGAATCGACCAGCTGTCTCTTAGATTCGAAATGATCCTGATTGTTGAAACTTTTTGGGTAAGGTTTTTTTTTACTTTTTCGGATGGTTAGAGATTTTTTCTACGATTATCCGCGCATATGTAGCCTAAACCGCGGTCTCTGTTTTGGCAACTTAAGCTCCTCAAAGGATAATTGATATTGTAAAAAAAATAGCCTTACCTACAGAGATCTGACATTGCTTTTAGATCTTAAACGCGAGGTGAACAAAGAACGAGAGAAGAGTACTGCATTCGAGGCTGAGGCAGACATGCACAAGAACTACGCGAATGAAATTATGTCTGAGTTAAACCACTTAGAGCAGAAGACTGTGTATGAGTTAAATGACAAGTTGACCTCTCTTCAGACTCAACTGAAAGCGTCGGAGAATAATTTGTGGGAGAAGAATAGAGCATTTAATATCGCAAGGAATACGATCAGTGATCTAACAAATCAGCTGGAGTCATCTAAGTGTGGGTTCTCAGATTGTTATCTGATTAATACTTTTAGATTTGTGTTAAGATCGGAGATGAAGTTTCTTAGATCTGAGGCAATAGTTATTCGATTTTATGAATATTTTTTTTTGGTATAGAAATGCCACTCAGTGATTTTTTAGAGTGGTTCGCTGGTATCACATGGCCTTCCTGGTGGCGGGGGTGTCATCTTTTTTTCCGTATCCGGATCGCCTTTTTAGTCGTCTTTCATTTCTTGTCTGTTTAGTTGAACTGGGAGAGACGAGGACGAACAACTTGCAGCTGGATTTGAGGTGTAAGAATCTCGAGAAGAGTGAGAAGGAGATGGCAAGGAGACTGCAGGTGAAGGAGTCGGAGATGAAGTCGATGGAGAGGAGTCTCAAACTAGCACAGAACAGGTACTCATTGCAAACTACACAAAAAGATATATTTCAGGAACTGTATTATCAGAAATGTATTATTTAAGTTTTATTTAATATCAATTTGCAAAAAGTCAATTTATTTAATTTTTTGCCGAAAGTTTAATTTGACATACCTTTTTTGAAACTCCTACCCAAAAAAGGTCAGAAAAAATTATATGTATCATAATAATAATAATAATATAATTTAGTAAGTACATAATGTCAAAAATGTCAAAATGTTGGTGAACTTCAATTTTTTTTGTAAATCTATTTGTCTATGAGTAGGTAGTTGCATTTTGTAGTGCAGATTGTTCAATATTTTTGAATGTGTTGGTCCGATAAAAAGATACTGGTAAGGTTGACAGTTTTCTGGCTTTTCAAACATTTTGAACTTAATAGCTTACCGTCTCTGCCGACAGGTCTCGAACGCTGGATATCAACCTTCACTTTTTTTCATTGTCTATCAGCAAAAAATTGTAATTATCAAATGCTGTAATTTAATCAAATTTACATCAAAATTTTACTACAACTTTCAACAGATTGGCGGTTTTTAAAGTAAGTTTTGGCCTTAAATGTCTGAAATGCACACCGATTTCCACAAAACTATTTTCTCAAGTCAGTCAATTAGTCGGGATTTTTCTAGGCTTATAATCGGAAGAGCCGGACTCTTGGGGGACTGCGTAGTTGCCGGAAGTTGATAAGCATCCAATTTTAGAAATATTCCGACCCAGAAATGTAACTTTGCAAGTATTTTTATGTTTTTTTTTTCAAATTATAGAACGGAACAGTCTTGTCATCTGCGCAGGTTGGTTTTATTGCACTGATAATTTGACCATGAAATTTAGTTTGTACGAATGACTGTTGTTTTTGCACGGTTTTTGATCTAATTATTTAAACATTGTTGATTATTTTAAGCCACCGTTGGTCATCATTGGTATTAAGAGTCGATAATCGTAGTTCAGATTCATATATAGGTCGCGATGATTTTTTTCCGGAGAAATTTGGAAATTTGTTCCGGCTCATATTTACTTTTTTGCGGTTTGACTTTTGATTTCTTTTACGTTTCTTTTCATTTCCTTTGTTAAAACTCGCCCGAGGGAAAAAGAGCCCGGCCTGAGGGCACGAAGTGCCCGAGTGCGGCTCTTTTGCGCGAGGCCATCTTCAACTATATTCTAACTGTTAAAGAGTATGTTGCGGAGGGAAAGATGCCAGAAAATTGTGAAAGAGCCCGGAAAAGTGCGCGAAACTTAGCAAATTTATTTTTTCATTCATGCGTTCTAATAATTCATTTTTCAATCATGCCTTGTCGTGAAAGAACATGAGTGAAAGAGCAAAAACATACTCTTCTAAACATCAAAAATGTAAAGGTCACGAAAAACGTCATACACTTCTAGGTTTGAAAATGGAAATTAATTTTCAGGTTTCCTAGCGAAATATAAGATATACCTATTGATACAGTTTTCTCGAATTGGATTATTTCAATCAAAAAAGTGTCAATCATAGATTGTTGTAGAAATTCAAATAGCTTTAGGAAAATATATCTTTTTTTCGAAAATAAAAGTTTTTCAAAAAAAGTAGGTCAATTTTTTTTCTGTTTATTTGCGTTCATTGACTTTTTTCCAACTGTCTGTTGGCTGTGTTTTTTTCCCATTTGTTGGAGTTTAAAACATGGCAAACTTTATTGCAATCGTTTTTCGTGAAAAACTGCCGAAATCTGATAAATCTTTTTGCGTAACTAATGGCTAATTACTGAATTATTTAACCAACTTTTATGTTCAGTTAGATTCTTATGGTGCTCAGATCTCTTTATTCAAACACGAGCACGACTATTATTTGATTGAAAGTAATCGTATATTGTTCCGATAATTGAAAATGGGGAGAAAATTTGTATTCGGGTGTTTTTTTTCACGCAAAATCAGGTACCACAATAATCATCGGACTGGGTTGAGCGATATATCATATTAAAGCCCCTTACATTCGTGACTCGAACCATTGTAAAAAATTTTAAAAAAATCCAGTGTCGAAAAAAATCGGTTTGAATTTTTAGCTTTTTATTTCGAGCGAATAAAGCGAGCGTGCAGGCTTACAACGAGCAGGCTTACTAAATTAATGCATTAAAATCGGGATTTTTCTAGGCTTATAATCGGAAGAGCCGGACTCTTGGGGGACTGCGTAGTTGCCGGAAGTTGATAAGCATCCAATTTTAGAAATATTCCGACCCAGAAATGTAACTTTGCAAGTATTTTTATGTTTTTTTTTTTCAAATTATAGAACGGAACAGTCTTGTCATCTGCGCAGGTTGGTTTTATTGCACTGATAATTTGACCATGAAATTTAGTTTGTACGAATGACTGTTGTTTTTGCACGGTTTTTGATCTAATTATTTAAACATTGTTGATTATTTTAAGCCACCGTTGGTCATCATTGGTATTAAGAGTCGATAATCGTAGTTCAGATTCATATATAGGTCGCGATGATTTTTTTCCGGAGAAATTTGGAAATTTGTTCCGGCTCATATTTACTTTTTTGCGGTTTGACTTTTGATTTCTTTTACGTTTCTTTTCATTTCCTTTGTTAAAACTCGCCCGAGGGAAAAAGAGCCCGGCCTGAGGGCACGAAGTGCCCGAGTGCGGCTCTTTTGCGCGAGGCCATCTTCAACTATATTCTAACTGTTAAAGAGTATGTTGCGGAGGGAAAGATGCCAGAAAATTGTGAAAGAGCCCGGAAAAGTGCGCGAAACTTAGCAAATTTATTTTTTCATTCATGCGTTCTAATAATTCATTTTTCAATCATGCCTTGTCGTGAAAGAACATGAGTGAAAGAGCAAAAACATACTCTTCTAAACATCAAAAATGTAAAGGTCACGAAAAACGTCATACACTTCTAGGTTTGAAAATGGAAATTAATTTTCAGGTTTCCTAGCGAAATATAAGATATACCTATTGATACAGTTTTCTCGAATTGGATTATTTCAATCAAAAAAGTGTCAATCATAGATTGTTGTAGAAATTCAAATAGCTTTAGGAAAATATATCTTTTTTTCGAAAATAAAAGTTTTTCAAAAAAAGTAGGTCAATTTTTTTTCTGTTTATTTGCGTTCATTGACTTTTTTCCAACTGTCTGTTGGCTGTGTTTTTTTCCCATTTGTTGGAGTTTAAAACATGGCAAACTTTATTGCAATCGTTTTTCGTGAAAAACTGCCGAAATCTGATAAATCTTTTTGCGTAACTAATGGCTAATTACTGAATTATTTAACCAACTTTTATGTTCAGTTAGATTCTTATGGTGCTCAGATCTCTTTATTCAAACACGAGCACGACTATTATTTGATTGAAAGTAATCGTATATTGTTCCGATAATTGAAAATGGGGAGAAAATTTGTATTCGGGTGTTTTTTTTTCACGCAAAATCAGGTACCACAATAATCATCGGACTGGGTTGAGCGATATATCATATTAAAGCCCCTTACATTCGTGACTCGAACCATTGTAAAAAATTTAAAAAAAATCCAGTGTCGAAAAAAATCGGTTTGAATTTTTAGCTTTTTATTTCGAGCGAATAAAGCGAGCGTGCAGGCTTACAACGAGCAGGCTTACTAAATTAATGCATTAAAATTGCATTAATGCAATGATTTTTTTAAATTTTAGTCATTTTTCTACAATTTTTTTGTCCAGTTCGCCTACACTACTATGATTGACGACACTGCCTAAATTGTAGTTTTTAATCAGATCCTTTTATCAGACCGCGCCGAAAAAAACTACTTTAATTTGAAAAAAAAGTTTTTGTAGTTTTTAATGATTATCAGAACATTCTGTGCTACTTACTCAGTAACCGGCTGTCCTCCTTACTTGTATTTATTGACTGATTAGCAAAAGTAGCAAATGGACCAGCCTTTTAATATGTGTGTCGATCAGCGTGCTCATGTAAAAAAATGGAATGTGAAGATTCGCTATTTCACGTTATGGTTATTGCCCTAGCGAACTTTAGTGAGCGTTAGTGTTATACCACGACTAACCTTTTTTCTAACCTAAATCGCAAACATTGGTGCCACTTTTAAGGCACCTATACGGTTTATTGATATCATGTGCTTTGACATTTGAACAGTAATAAGTTAATACACTTGATGCATTTAAATTCATCCAATGAACCGAATAAAAGCTATTGGTTTCAAATGACACAATAATAATAAGAACTCGAATTCAGAAGTATTTTAACTCATTAAATTTAGCAATTTTTTGAAATGCATAATTTATACATAATGCGGTTTTCTGCTTTCCAATTTATTACATGTAAAATTAGTGTGGATACCTTCAGTTTTTTATATTCCAAACTATTACTTGCAAAATTGTGTCTATTTTTCTTAGGTGCAACTTTTGCTGCATTGTATTGGCAATTTGTTAGCATATTTAGCTGCTTTATTTGTGACTAGTGTTTGCGGGTTGTTAAGTTTTCGTGGCCGAGAGGGCAGGGCGTGAGACTCGAATTCTCGAGGTCGCAAGTTCGAAGACAATACATTACTAATTCAAGGCTTATTTCGATCTGTTTTTATTTCACTTAAAGCTGCTTTCTTGTCGTATTCTGACTAATGTTTGCGAAGAGAAGCTTCGCCTCTGTGTCCAAAGTTGCTTTTTTGAACAGCGCGCACTTAGCCGAATTTTAGATTAGGTGAATGTAAATTTTCGGCTGACAATAAAAAAAGGGTTTTCGAAATTAATTGAAACTCTAGGCTAAGTTATTTTTCATCTGAAAGCACATTAAATTGAAGCAATTTTTACATGCAATTATGTACACATGCTAATCGCTACACTCACAAGTATCACTGCTTTTCATTACGATGTTATTGATAGATGCAACGACATGGAGTGTTCGCGTGACTCGCGAGTGAGCAAATTGGAGCGGGAGGCGGACACGAGAGAAGGCCAGTTGGAGGAGGCCAGAGCAGACAAGGCCAGACTGCAGAGACAGGTGGACTCTATTAGTGAACAGGTGGACACTTGTAAACTACACATCCAGAAACTCACGCTGTCCAAAGAGTCCAACGAGGTAGGCAACGTCAAAACTCCTCATAGCGAAAAGATTCTTCGGCTCCAATAATTTTGCATGCGTAGTGTTAGTAAAAGCATAAATACAAATTAAAGTCGAATAATTTTACTATCGAATTTTACAGTCGAATTTTACTGATTAATGGTGAAAAAGGAAAACTGTACGGGGAAACATTGGTATTGTGGAATGTGAAGTTCAATTGAAATTAATGCATATTGTGAAATTGTGGCAACAATGTTTGTTTACGCTTGCGATTAGCAAGCGTTATCAAACTGGAATATAGACTTTTTTCGGGTTAACAACTTGTGTAACAGAATCACTTGTATCTTGGTTCATAATGAGTTCAAACTTCTAAGCATTCCCGGCAAACTTAGCCTTGGAAGTAACGAATATGACTGGGACGGTATAGGTCCTAGGTTCGAATCTGACCAGGACCTGTTTTTCCAACAAGAAATATTCTGTTTCAAATACAATTGTCGGCCAATTATTTTTCTGCTTATCTGTTGTCGGCATAGTTGCCACACCTTGGAATCGTTTTTTTTTGCTGCGCGCATTTTTTTTATGTTTCTTTTAGTGTTTGATTCACTCCTACAATTTGTAATTTTACTTGCCTTGATTTCGGATTTCCTTTTTATAAGAGTCTTGCTGATTTTTTTGTTTGTTTTTTTTTTGTAAGGAAAAAGTTTTATAATTTGTTCACGCTCAATTTTGATTTTTCGCGGCTTGAACTGCGTTTTGTTTTAAGTTCAGTGCATTTCCATTGTTAAAAGGAAGGCACATTCCACTATTGCACAGCAAAATGGTAAAGGTCGCCAAAAAGGTGATCGGCTTCTAATTTCGAAAATGGAAATTAATTATCAGATTTCCCAGCGAAACGAAAGTTTTAACTATTGATCCAGTTTTCTCAAATTGGGTTAACTTTAACAAAAAAGTGTCCATCATAAATTGTTTTACAAATTCAGACCTTTAAGGTCATCTCATTTTTTTCCGAAATTTGAAATGTGAAAAATTTTTGAAAAAACAAGTCGGTTTTTTTTCAGTTTCTTTGCGTTCATTACTCTTTTCCAACTCTCAGTTGGCTATGTTTTTTTGTTTAGCTGAAAAAATCCTCCGCCCAAATTATTTGGCCTATTTTTTGTCGGTCTAGTAGCCTAATTTTGGATCATAATGAATTCAAACTGCTATGCGTTCCCGGCCAACTTAGCCTGGAGGTAATGAATATCCCTGTGACGGCAAAGGTCGTTTCAAGGGGAACACATTTTGAACTTTACCCTCGGCACTTTTCATGTTGGTTGTATGCTTACCAATCGGTTTGTTGAGTTTTTTTTTCGTTTTGGAAAAATATTTCTCAATATTTCCCAGAAACTTCTACTGATTTTCAAAAAGGGTATCAATTGAAAGACCGCCTACTCGCCTGTGTGCCTTTATATTCCCCTAGAGTCCACTTTTTACTTAACCCCTCTGTCTGCAGCCTTTGAAAATGTCTGTCGAGGAGTATTCGACCCATGTTTTTTTATTTTTTTTTGTTTTCTCAAAAATCTACATTGCATGTGAGGGGATGATTTCAAAAAACATCCCAAAATTTTTTTTTTGAATATTTTTTTAAAGAAATTTTCCCTCATATTTTTATAACTTACAATAACGCATAAACCTTTAAATGCAGTCGAAACATTCAGGCCTTGGCCCTGATACGAGCAGACTTGTGGTTTTAGGCAGAAAGACAGAATTTGTTCGCGCTGATTGAGGAGCAGAAACTAGCCATTACTAAACTGGAGAAAGAAACATTGAATCTGAAGGCATCAAGAGGGCACTCTAGAAGTGCTTCTGCCCAGCCGCCAATGAACTCCAACTTAACTGTGATACAGGCAGAGAAGGAAGACTCGGTGAGAATTGGTCAACACCTTTTAATTTAAGTATAGGGTTAAGTATAAGTATGAGAAAAAACTTGAAATTGGTAATGCGAAAGTCTAAAACGCTAAACGCCTGAAAACAGACAATATGTGTCTAATGGCGATCTACCAAAATGAGCTGCATGTTGTAAAAGAAATATATAAAAAGTTGTGATATGTTTTGGATACAATTTATTATGACTGTCATTATATATGGCGCAAAAAAAAACAAAATCATAGCGCAGCTAACTGATAGTCGAGAATCACAATTTTTGAATTGATTTAATACTGCTTCAATTTTGCAAAAATTGGTATCTACAATGCATAGCCATCGATGGGTAGTTAAACAAATCATAAACAAATAAATTGAAAAGTGCAATGCAAAGCAAGAAAACATTTTTAGTAGTTTTTTACTCTTAACCTAATCAGTGTCACAACGAACTTCGAACCAAACGATTGAGCGGAAGAAAGCTTATCTCGGACCCTTTTCTTTGTACTCGTCTATAGATAGTCGTACGTTATCTTAATTGCTTATTAGCTGGACTCTGAAACTGGAACATATGTCAACAACAACAACAACAACGTGGAAAATGTGCACAATGGTGACGATGTAATGGGTCCCGATGACGTCACAGACGAGGACCACGTGAGCGCATTCCAACAGCACGTGGAGAGTGTGAGAGCCAATGTGCAGATTGCACTGACCAGATATCTGGAGGCAGTCCACGTCTTCCAGAGTCATGGGTGAGTGAGAGCAAAGTCTAATCAAGTTGTCATCTTATAACATTGATAGCAGGCTGCTATGTAAGTTTCAAAGTTTCAAGGAACTAAAACAAAACTGGTCTGAAAAACTGTTTTCGGACCAATTTTGCTCTAAATTGTTCTGAATTGCCAAAAGTTTGGACAGGTTTTCTCGACACTGAGGCAACTTCTCTGATATTTATTTTTAGAATCCGTATCACGATAATTCATCAGAAAAGTGGATAATTGTATGTGTGTGTGTGTGGTTTAGGAACAAAGATGGTTTCATGCTGGAGACGAAGCATATTTTGACCCACGGGAAAGAATGTCTGGATCAAATCCAGCAGATAGCAGAGAAATATGTCATAATGCCTACCAGAGTGAGTAACTGACTATTAAAGATGTTTTTTGTAAGAATACATCGTTTCAGATAAACTAGAATGTTTTTGAACTGTTTGTTTGTTATTTTTTTTTGTAAGAGAAAGCCAAGGATTGTTTTCTCATCTCTCCTTAAAAACGGAGACGGTTGAGTTTTGAAATATGCAGTATGACAAAAACAGCTTCTTTTTTTGAGAGATGATCGTTCAGTTGTTTTTGGGCTGCTTGTTCCCACAACGAGAAAGAATTTTGTTTCCGGCATGTTTTTTTTTCACACAAAAAAGCTTTACGGGATAATTTTTCATTCAGGATTAAGTACTACAATGAACTTTGTACGGCGTTGTGCTTCATCATATTTAAGCCCTAAAGATGCGGAAATTTGTTTTTAAGATATCGTCACGCAGTTTGCTGTCGCTGAACGAGAAGCTCATCCAGCAGAATCGCGACTTAACCGACGTCGTTTCTCTCCTCACAAACGAGAGAATTGCTCTGCAAAGAAAAGTAGACGAATGCAATATGAAATCAAACTGCTCGCAGTCAACTGAACTGCAACTACAGAAAGTTTATGCTTCGTTTCTACGTGCAGACAGCAGAAGGAAGAATCTGCTTTATCAGAAGAGGTATCTGTTGCTGTTAATTGAGGGCTTCAGGTCCTATGAGGATTCGGCCCTGAGGATGATTTCAGAGATGGGACTGCTGTCTGCGGATACATTTACGAGTGATTTAACGAGTGGGTCTTTGCTGTGCAGAAATGTACCCATAACGCCATACAGAAGGTATGAGTCTATAGTTAATGCCAAATTGTTGGCAATGTCCTTTTCGGTCGACGAATCTGAACAAAGTTAATGAACCTAAAACTGCTCATTTCGACGTCTGTTTACATTTGCGATCAGCTTAGTGTGTTATAACGAACCTTCTTTTTTTTCTAGTTTAACTCGCAAATAAAAGTGTTCAGTAAAAGTGGAAATTTATTGATTTGGAAATTTCTTTGTAGAATTGGAAATTGCATAGCATCTGCTCTCTGCTTAATATGTGGCTAGTGATTTGTTCTTATTAAGCTTCCGTGGCTGAGTAGTTGTTGTGTGAAGTCTCCTAACCTCTAGGTAGCAGGTTCGAATATCAGAGGTTGCCGCATATATATATATATATTTTTTTACTAATTCGGGGCTTATTTATGATTTTTATTATTGCAATTTATAGAGCTGCTTTTTGTCGTGTTCTTGCAAGTATTGCGAAGCGAAGCTTTGCCTATGTTTTTAAGAGTAAAATTTGTTTTTTTTTTGCAGGAAAAAGTCAAATTTGTTCACGCTCTCTGTTGATTTTCGCAGCTTGACTTGTGATTTCTTTTTAAGCTCAGTGCATTTCCATTGTTGAAAGGAAAGCAAACTCCACTATCGAACAGCAAAAGTGTTAAGGTCTCGATAATTGTGATCGATTTCTGATTTCGAAATGGAAATTAATTATCAGATTTCCCAGCAAATTTAAAGTTTTACGTATTGATGCAGTTTTCTCAAATTGGGTTAGTTTAAACAAAAAAGTGTCCATCATAAATTGGTCTACAAATTCAGAGCTTTAATCCCATCTATTTTTTTTTGAAATTCAAAGGTTGAATGCTCTTGAAAAACAAGTCAGTTTTTTTCAGTGTTCTTGCGTTCCTTACTCTTTTCCAATTATTAGTTGGCTATGTTATTTGTTTGTCGGCTTTATTGATTTTGTCCTAGTTTTTGTCAGCTTTCTTGTCGGGTGTTATATTTCTGTAACTTTTTTGGTACACTTTTTGAATACTTTCTTCTTCATTCGAAATTTTTTTTCTCTTTAAATTCGCCCTTTTATAAGAGCAATGAACGTAGTGAATACTCTTATATAGGTCTTACTGATTTTTTCAGGAAAAAGTCTTAAAATGTGCATAAAAGTCTCAAATAACTACAGATGTGCTTTCATGCATATTGATGCACTTATGAATGCACGTAGGAATTTATGCACTTTTTGAGCTCAATTGAAATTCATCTGCTGAAAGTGACGTAAACAGCACTCTACAAATACGAACATAGAAATGGCGCAAAAATTCGTGAACGATTTCTAGTTTCGAAAGAGGAATTTATTTTTAAGATTTCCTGCGGAATAAAAACTTTACCTGTTGATCCAGTTTTCTCATGTTGGTTTAAAATTATCTAAAATGCGCCAATCATAAATCGTTCTAGAAATTACTTGCGTTCCTGGCACTTTTCCAATCTTCGATTGGCTATGTTCCAAATTATCACTAATTCCAGACGTAAAAACCGTTTCCAAAAAACTAATAAAACTAAAAATTTACAGTTTTTGACCGATTAAATAGCTCAAGATCGCCGATAATGCCAACAAATTGGCACTAACTATAAATTAGAATTATTGCCTCTATCTGCATGTCTGTTCGGATCAAAAATGATGACACCGAATGAAAACTTTGATTTTTTGTTTTTGTAAAGCAAATCCACAAATAAAAGCTGAAATTTTCAGAGGGATTGCTCCGGTCTTTTTGTTATTGTAAGTTCAGAAATAATATTCAAGTCAATTTTTTGGTTTTAAAGTTTTTTGAACAATCAGATTCAAGCATTGCAATTCGGTTTTAATGCAATCAAAAGCATCAAGTTTGGATCAAAGAACAAAAAATGTTTTTCAAGCGGCGATGAACGTAATGAAGACACGTATTTTGGTAGTTTTTTTTCAGAACAGTCTAAAAGATGGATCGCGCTACATTTGATCTTATGATGTTTTACTTTTGCTTTATTTCCAAGATCAATTAAATTTCATTTCTTAGAAGCAAGGCAAAATCCTTATCGCACAGCAACAAAAGTGGAAACGTTTTGAAGAACGTGAATGATTCTAGCTTCAAAAGTGGATTTTAGTTTTCTGATTTCCTACCGAATAAAATAATTAACTTTGATCTAGTTTTCTCTAAATTGATAACTTATAAGATAAAAGTGTCAATCATTTAAATTCTGAAATTTCTAGAGTTTCAAAACGATTCAATTTTTTCTTGATTTTCGAAAGTTTTTTTCCTGTTTTTTCGAGTTCATTAACAATTTTGTAACAGTTTATTGGCAATGTGTTGGATATTATTAGGAACATTAAGTTTAGGCGGCGCCTTTTCCGCCTACTTTAGTGTTTTCCCGCCTTTTTCTATGAAGATATACTAGCGTTTTTCTGAGAAAACCAACAGTGCGTGGCCGTTATGTCTTATTTCACTGTTCAGTATGTTGCGCATGCTTCATATGAAGTTTCTTTGAGAGGAAATGTTGCTTCAAACTTATGTTCGTGCAGTTCAATATCAAACTTTTTTGAATATTTCTGATAATGAAAATCTCAAGTACTCCGCCTTTTTTCCGCCTAAAAAGGCCGCCTATTTAAGTAAGCATGGTTCCGCCTCAGTTTGATGTTCCTGGATATTATAGTTTATTCTCGAGTGAATTGAATATTTATTGTTTATTGTGTGACTAGATTGAAAGGGGCTGTGCGTGCTGTGATGGCTGTGTGGCGAATGAAACAGTTGGTGTTCAAGTGGAGACATATCTGCAACCCCACCATACCCAAGCATATCCCCCCAACAGCCACTCACATGTCGACTGCTGCTGCGGCTGCTGCCAAATCACTCTCTCAAAGCTCGCTCTCTGTCTACACTGATGAAGCAAGAGGAAAAATGGGAAACAACTCTTCCGAAAGGTAGACAAACAGGCTTCTTTATAGTAAAACCACAAACAAAAGGATTAGTTAAAAAAAACAAGAAAACTATCAAGATTTTTTAACACTCATTTCATTGGTGGAATTTACTGATTAGCTGTTTGTCATTTTATTGCTACCTGTGGTCTGTAAAAACTTTTCGACACATTTTGCGAGAGTTTTTTTTAACTACTTTTCTATCCTTTTCCCAGTTTTATTCTTACTTTTTCAAATTTGCAACAACAAGTTATTGTCTTGAAATAGTTGATTAGACAGGAACTGTTTAGGATCACTTGTGGTAGTGGTCGTACCTGGAATGTCAAGCACGGATCCAACACCAGAAACGGACAGCCACAGCAATCACTAGTCGAGTCAGTGGCTCTTAGCAACACTTCACATTGCACGTATACCAAAAGTCCTCAAAGTGGTCCAGCAATCAACCAACAATCCAAAAGAGGTGGTCACAATCAGGGGTCACAAAATGCTGCCAACCCAGGATTCTGGGTACCTGCCACTTGTTCAGAATCGAACGAAGAGACAGCTCACAAAGGTCAAACAGAGGTCAAAGTCACCAAAGGTCAATCGGGGAAAGGTCAAAAGAAGCCAAATAGTAACCAACCTGGAGGTCACTCGAGTGAACATAACAGAACTGGGAGTGGCGACTTTGAAGATCCTTTAGTGTCGCGTTACAGAAACAGACTGACAGAGATGCAGCATAAGCTGTCGAGTATTAACTGTGACCTTGGCAAGAGCAATCAGCCCCAACAAGGAAAATCTTCAACTCACTCGCCTCAGCACAAGCGCTGAACTGAATCGAGATTGCTTCAGACGTTTATCGGATCTTCAGGATTGTGAAACATATGCAGATATAGATTCGTCGATTCTTTTTTTTGTGAAAGCTACTTTGCAAAACTTTATGCCATACTACTTAAGTTATAGAAGTTCGGAAAAAAGTGAGAGTAGTACATAAAATACTTAAAAATTTGGGCTATTAAAACTGTGCAATTTATTACAAGCGTTCCAAATAGTTACACGTTGGACAGATACTTAAATCTTATGCATATATTCGGGTTTCATACGTTTTGCACATAATTGTTCGAAAAGTTTTAGCACGAGTTATTTTGACGTTTTTTTTGTTATTGATACATAGCTAATAACAGGATATTTTCTCAGAATGATCAATGATGATTTCGTATTATTTTAATTGTTCAATGATTAATTAAATTTTGTTACAAAGCCACAGGTATTTTTTCATCTTAAGGTGAGGTTAGCTGATTAATAAAATTACTTTCCGTGCAGGACCAACCGTGAGTTAGGGTAATCTGTTTTCCGCAGCCAGTTCTCCGGACTCGTCCAACTGGACTCCTCCGGACACTGCGACTCCTCCAACCGTGATCGAAGTGGGATTCGATCGCATGACTCGCGTGTTGCCAGACGTGTGCCTAACCCACTCGGCCACGGCTGCTCTTTTTGGACTCATAAGCACGCTCCATATTTTAACAATATGATAACTTTTTAAACCTCTTATGATCTGTCCCAAAATCGCGCGAGAAAAATACGCCACCCTACGCCATAGTTATTTCTTTACTCGAGTTACTTCCCATTCCGAATCGGTTTTGTGTGGCTAAATGGTTCTCCGGAAAGGTTAAATTTAGTATGAATTAGTAGATAATCTCGTGTAGTAATGTCATAGTCACATCAGATAGTTGTAATGTTAGTCTACCCATATAAAAACGTATAAAAACCGGAAGTTTATTGCGATATTGATTTTATAGCTTATTGCTCAAACATTTCTTCAAAGTATGTTTTATTTATTTTGCTTTTCCAGAGTTTAAATGACCATTCGACATAATAAGCGGCCATCGTCTCAAGCGTTGGATGATGCAGTGGCCCAAAGTATCCGAGATTTCAGTGACCCAATTGAAATCGAAGAGGAGCTTTTAGTCAGAACAGAGCAGCCAACGACACAAATGAGCATTTTACCTGATGTGAGCAAATCTTCAAAACTCGCGAACGAAAAGATTCAAAGAAAACACAAAACGAACGTATCACTTGCACTCGCAGGGTCCATTTTGAACAACGTTTCAACCCTTCAGTTGAAAACATTACTTGCTGGTCAAATTGGCAGGTACTGTGCTATATTCAGAATAGTGGAAATTGTAATTTTTGACGATCATGACGCAGGTAGTGGCTATGTAGATTCAACGAAAGAAGCGTGTGCCTTAATGCGGAAACTTCTTGAGTATCAGGTTATGCCGCAATATATGAGGAAATCTTTGTTTGGAATCGATCAAGATTTGGCGTTTGCGAGTTTGCTTCACCCGTTGGCTACCCCACATCATATGAAAATGGACGATTTTTCGAAATACCGCGACGGACTAACATTGGATCGGAAATCAGCGGGTGGTTTTACTATGGCAAATTGCGGATTGGGTAGCGACGTTGTTTTAGATCGAAAATTGAAGCCAGGAATTTGCGTGACTGTTAAATTCGAAAAAGATGATTGGGAAAATGGAGAAATTGTTTCACCTAAAGAACCTTTCAAAAACGGCTACTATTGGGGCTATTCTATCAGAACAGCTAATTGCATGGATGATATATTTTGCCATCCAAATGGCGATAAATATGAATTGGTTCTGGGAACTTCTGACAAGGGTGAACTACTCTCGGACATAAACCTCCCGGATGTTAAAACCATGTTAATTGTGGTCGGAGGTGTCCAAGGATTAGAGTTTGCGTTCGAAAACGACGAGAAAAATGCGAGCTCAGATTGTGCGACTAACTTTGATTTCTACGTGAACTGTTGTGCTAATCAAGGCAGTCGGACTATTAGAACAGAAGAAGCCTTGCCTATCATTTTAACTTCTGTTAATGAGAAAATTAACTTCTTGTGATTTGTGGTTTTTTATGTTTTCTGATGTGATGATTCTCGTTAATTTATTATATACGCGAAAGTGCGAGCGTAGTGTCATACAATTAGACATCTTTATTCCCAGCGCAAGTCGCACATTCTAGTGCAAAGTTTTCTGGAAAGTTTTATCATTCATAAACAGCATGTTCTAGCTATATCCGCTAAGTATGAAAAATGTGATATGACTTTTAAGCCAAAGGCAGATGCTCGAAAACAAAACGTAGTCTTTTTGATTTTTGCTATTTTCAAAGTTGATTTCGAGTAAAAGAAAGAAATTCTAGTTTAAAGAAATCCCGATTATACCCAAGAAAGCGAATAAATCAGGGCCAATAAAATAATATTGACCGATTAGAATATTAGCAGAAACATTTTAAGCTGAATGTCTATGTTGCGATTTGATAACGATTGCTAATTAACGTTTTTTTTTGGCGCAACCTCTACGCGTTTGTTTTTTTGTTGTCAATGTCTTGCCTCAAGAAAAATGAACAAAATTGGATGTCAAATGGCATCAAAAAGGGAGGGAAATTTTGTCTGGCCAAAGTGTAAATTATGTTAAAAGTGCCTTTGCCAGTATCTTAATTGGCTTTGATGAATGCGTATTTGAGATTAATTTTTCTTTTATCCACATGAACATTTTTCAGATTACAAATGGGTCTATTACAATCAATATTTTTAATATAATGCAAAACACCATAATAGCCAATTGTTGAACTAATACCATATCGTGACCCGCGCTGTTTCTATTTGCCATCTTCATAACTAATTACATTAGCAATTGATTTGCTAAAAGTCGATCTATATAAGCCAATTTATGGCTGTTTTGACACTTAAAAATTGATTGAGGAGTTTGTTTCATCATCTATCTTTCGTATTTGATTGAAATGACAGGATCATCAGTGTTAGTTGCAGTTGTGAATTTCGTCGAATTTTTCTACAATCTCAACATGGCTTTCCTCAGGTCGATGCTAGACACTGTTTCTTCTATTGGACTCGAGAATATCCTCATCGGAGGTGAGACTGTCGTTTTTTGAGATGAGTTTTCTTTGTTTTTTTTTCGTTAACTTATTTGTGATCTTAGATCAATTAAAATGCTATTGAATTTGATCTTATGATGTTTTACTTTTGCTTTATTTCCAAGATCAATTAAATTTCATTTCTTAGAAGCAAGGCAAAATCCTTATCGCACAGCAACAAAAGTGGAAACGTTTTGAAGAACGTGAATGATTCTAGCTTCAAAAGTGGATTTTAGTTTTCTGATTTCCTACCGAATAAAATAATTAACTTTGATCTAGTTTTCTCTAAATTGATAACTTATAAGATAAAAGTGTCAATCATTTAAATTCTGAAATTTCTAGAGCTTCAAAACGATTCAATTTTTTCTTGATTTTCGAAAGTTTTTTTCCTGTTTTTTCGAGTTCATTAACAATTTTGTAACAGTTTATTGGCAATGTGTTGGATATTATTAGGAACATTAAGTTTAGGCGGCGCCTTTTCCGCCTACTTTAGTGTTTTCCCGCCTTTTTCTATGAAGATATACTAGCGTTTTTCTGAGAAAACCAACAGTGCGTGGCCGTTATGTCTTATTTCACTGTTCAGTATGTTGCGCATGCTTCATATGAAGTTTCTTTGAGAGGAAATGTTGCTTCAAACTTATGTTCGTGCAGTTCAATATCAAACTTTTTTGAATATTTCTGATAATGAAAATCTCAAGTACTCCGCCTTTTTTCCGCCTAAAAAGGCCGCCTATTTAAGTAAGCATGGTTCCGCCTCAGTTTGATGTTCCTGGATATTATAGTTTATTCTCGAGTGAATTGAATATTTATTGTTTATTGTGTGACTAGATTGAAAGGGGCTGTGCGTGCTGTGATGGCTGTGTGGCGAATGAAACAGTTGGTGTTCAAGTGGAGACATATCTGCAACCCCACCATACCCAAGCATATCCCCCCAACAGCCACTCACATGTCGACTGCTGCTGCGGCTGCTGCCAAATCACTCTCTCAAAGCTCGCTCTCTGTCTACACTGATGAAGCAAGAGGAAAAATGGGAAACAACTCTTCCGAAAGGTAGACAAACAGGCTTCTTTATAGTAAAACCACAAACAAAAGGATTAGTTAAAAAAAACAAGAAAACTATCAAGATTTTTTAACACTCATTTCATTGGTGGAATTTACTGATTAGCTGTTTGTCATTTTATTGCTACCTGTGGTCTGTAAAAACTTTTCGACACATTTTGCGAGAGTTTTTTTTAACTACTTTTCTATCCTTTTCCCAGTTTTATTCTTACTTTTTCAAATTTGCAACAACAAGTTATTGTCTTGAAATAGTTGATTAGACAGGAACTGTTTAGGATCACTTGTGGTAGTGGTCGTACCTGGAATGTCAAGCACGGATCCAACACCAGAAACGGACAGCCACAGCAATCACTAGTCGAGTCAGTGGCTCTTAGCAACACTTCACATTGCACGTATACCAAAAGTCCTCAAAGTGGTCCAGCAATCAACCAACAATCCAAAAGAGGTGGTCACAATCAGGGGTCACAAAATGCTGCCAACCCAGGATTCTGGGTACCTGCCACTTGTTCAGAATCGAACGAAGAGACAGCTCACAAAGGTCAAACAGAGGTCAAAGTCACCAAAGGTCAATCGGGGAAAGGTCAAAAGAAGCCAAATAGTAACCAACCTGGAGGTCACTCGAGTGAACATAACAGAACTGGGAGTGGCGACTTTGAAGATCCTTTAGTGTCGCGTTACAGAAACAGACTGACAGAGATGCAGCATAAGCTGTCGAGTATTAACTGTGACCTTGGCAAGAGCAATCAGCCCCAACAAGGAAAATCTTCAACTCACTCGCCTCAGCACAAGCGCTGAACTGAATCGAGATTGCTTCAGACGTTTATCGGATCTTCAGGATTGTGAAACATATGCAGATATAGATTCGTCGATTCTTTTTTTTGTGAAAGCTACTTTGCAAAACTTTATGCCATACTACTTAAGTTATAGAAGTTCGGAAAAAAGTGAGAGTAGTACATAAAATACTTGAAAATTTGGGCTATTAAAACTGTGCAATTTATTACAAGCGTTCCAAATAGTTACACGTTGGACAGATACTTAAACCTTATGCATATATTCGGATTTCATACGTTTTGCACATAATTGTTCGAAAAGTTTTAGCACGAGTTATTTTGACGTTTTTTTTGTTATTGATACATAGCTAATAACAGGATATTTTCTCAGAATGATCAATGATGATTTCGTATTATTTTAATTGTTCAATGATTAATTAAATTTTGTTACAAAGCCACAGGTATTTTTTCATCTTAAGGTGAGGTTAGCTGATTAATAAAATTACTTTCCGAAAACTAAGAAACATAAACAGTTTTGAAGGTTGTTATTCATGTACAACCAACAGATTTTCAATCAGCACTACTGTTGAAAAGCTTCTCAAGGTCAGGTGTTGTTGAATCAAAGGATTTTAAGTGTCAATCAAACGAGCGAAGACATTTATTTAGGTCGTCTTAATTTTTTAAAGTTTTTTTTCAGGAATTTTTGCTGAAATTTGGTGTTCCGCGGTTTGACTTTTCATTGCATCTCAATTTCTGTTCATTTTTGTTTTGCTAAGAGGCATGCAATTTACGCTCTCCAATAACAAAAGTGCAAATTCTTCATGAATTAAGCGTATTAGAGTAATGATCTCTTCTTCCAGTTTTCCTAAGTTTGGTAAGTTTTATCAAAAAAGTGTGAGTCATAACTGATTGCAAATTCAAAGAGAAGTAAGCTGCTATTTTTTCTCTGAAACTTGAAAGTTGAAACCTCATAAAAAATTTTTTTTTTCAGTTTCCTCGAGTTCATTGCCTCTTATTTACCTCGAGTTTTTGCTCTCTGTTTAAGTCGTGTGATTTTCTTTTTGTTAAGGAAAGAATTAAATTTCTAGCTCTCTCAGTTTTCTGTTTTGGCGGCGAAGCAATCTTACTATTGTTTCGATCGGAGATCAATTTTTGTTCCTTCGAAGCAACAGTAGAAGCTGTGCAAAAATTGTTTTGCATTTTAAGTTTAAAAGGTTCATCCAATCGAAAAAAGTTTCAAAAAATGGTCATGGTTTTTTCTAAATTCTTTTTGTTTTCCAATTGTTTTCAGTTTCATCAAAATTTTTGCAGATAAGTGATATTTGGTCTCAGCAGGATTATAATGTGATTCCTAAATTTTGAAATAATAATTTATGAAAGTTTCTGCTGTTTTCTTGCGCCATGAGAGAAGATAAAGCTAAACTTCAGGAATTAGACTGAATTTTTTTCAAACCACTGCTGAAATCGGATTCATCGAAGATCAGTCATTTTGTTGGAATACCCTGCTGTAAATATGTCAAAACCAAAAATAAACGTTTTTTTATCTTCTTTTTTGGAATCCGTTCTTTTCGGATTCCAATTCCATTGTGTCCGTTAGTCCGTTGTTTTCTATGTAAATTTTTCGACCAAATGAATTCCCTGTCAAATTATTTTCTCAATTAAAAACATTAAGTAGAGCTCGAAAAACTAAATTGGTTGAACTAAAATTCAAAACAAAGCAAACCAAAAACAATCGAAAATTAACCCAACTTAAAAACAAAACCAACCTTCAAGGTTACAAAAACAATCAAAAACTAACTCAATCTAAGATTTGTGCTGAAAAACCTTCAAGGTTACGAAACTTTTGATTTCCTTCAATATTGGTGTAAATAAAGGAAAGTTGGGCTGAAAATCGGAGACAGAGGCAATGTTTTTGATTTTTATAGACTTAGTTTTTATTACCCCTCGGTCCTGCTCCGTTCAGGACCAACCGTGAGTTAGGGTGATCTGTTTTCCGCAGCCGGTCCAACCTTGCAGAGGCGTGTGACACTGCGACTCCTCTTACCGTGACCCGAAGTGGGATTCGAACGCATGACTCGCGTGTTGCCAGACATGTGCCTAATCCACTCGGCCACGGCAGCTCTTTTTGGACTCGTAATCACGCTCCATAGTTTTATAATATGATAACTTTTTTAACCTCTTATGATCTGTCCTAAAATCGTATCTTAAATCGCACGAGAAAAATCCACCCTACGCCATAGTTATTTCTTTACTCGAGTTACTTCCCATTCCGAATCGGTTTTGTGTGGCTAAATGGTTCTCCGGAAAGGTTAAAGTTAGTATCAATTAGCATTGGTTATCTCGTTTAGTAATGTCATAGTCACATCAGATAGTTGTAATGTTAGTCTACCCATATAAAAACTTATAAAAACCGGAAGTTTATTGGGATAATAATTTTATAGCTTATTGCTCAAACATTACTTCAGAGTATGTTTTATTTATTTTTGCTTTTCCAGAGTTAAAATGACCATTCGACATAATAAGCGGCCATCGTCTCAAGCGTTGGACGATGCAGTGGCTCAAAGTATCCGAGACTTCAGCGACCCAATTGAAATTGAAGAGGAGCTTTTAGTCAGAACAGAGCAGCCAACGACACAAATGAGTATTTTACCTGATGTGAGCAAATCTTCAAAACTCGCGAACGAAAAGATTCAAAGAAAACACAAAACGAACGTATCACTTGCACTCGCAGGGTCCATTTTGAACAACGTTTCAACCCTTCAGTTGAAAACGTTACTTGCTGGTCAAATTGGCAGGTACAGTGCAATATTCAGAATAGTAGAAATTGTAATTTTTGACGATCATGATGCAGGTAGTGGTTATGTAGATTCAACGAAAGAAGCGTGTGCCTTAATGCGGAAACTTCTTGAGTATCAAGTTATGCCGCAATATATGAGGAAATCGTTGTTTGGTATCGATCAAGATTTGGCGTTTGCTAGTTTGCTTCACCCGTTGGCTACCCCACATCATATGAAAATGGACGATTTTTCGAAATACCGCGACGGACTAACATTGGATCGGAAATCAGCGGCTGGTTTTACTATGGCAAATTGCGGATTGGGTAGCGACGTTGTTTTAGATCGAAAATTGAAGCCAGGAATTTGCGTGACTGTTAAATTCGAAAAAGATGATTGGGAAAATGGAGAAATTGTTTCCCCTAAGGAACCTTTCAAAAACGGCTACTATTGGGGCTATTCTATCAGAACAGCTAATTGCATGGATGATATATTTTCCCATCCAAATGGCGCTAAATATGATTTGGTTCTGGGAACTTCAGACAAGGGTGAACTACTCACGGACATAAACCTCCCGGATGTTAAAACCATGTTAATTGTGGTCGGAGGTGTCCAAGGATTAGAGTTTGCGTTCGAAAACGACGAGAAAAATGCGAGCTCAGATTGTGCGACTAACTTTGATTTCTACGTGAACTGTTGTGCTAATCAAGGCAGTCGGACTATTAGAACAGAAGAAGCCTTGCCTATCATTTTAACTTCTGTTAATGAGAAAATTAACTTCTTGTGATTTGTGGTTTTTATATGTTTTCTGATGTGAGGAGTCTCGTTAATTTATTATATACGCGAAAGTGCGAGCGTAGTGTCATACAATTAGACATCTTTATTCCCAGCGCAAGTCGCACATTCTAGTGCAAAGTTTTCTGGAAAGTTTTATCATTCATAAACAGCATGTTCTAGCTATATCCGCTAAGTATGAAAAATGTGATATGACTTTTAAGCCAAAGGCAGATGCTCGAAAACAAAACGTAGTCTTTTTGGTTTTTGCTATTTTCAAAGTTGATTTCGAGTAAAAGAAAAAAATTCTAGTTTAAAGAAATCCCGAGAAAGCGAATAAATCAGGGCCAATAAAATTAATATTGACCGATTAGAATATTAGCAGAAAAATTTTAAGCTGAATGTCTATGTTCCAATTTGATAACGATTGCTAATTATCGTTTTTTTTTCCGGCGCACCCTCTACTCGTTTTTTTTGTTGTCAATGTCTTGCCTCAAGATAATTGAATAAAATGGGATGCAAAATGGCATCAAAAAGGAGGGATGTTTTGGCTGGCCTAGTTGTAAAACCATGTGTACACTGTCTTTACCAGCATCTGTATTGGCTTTGACGAATGCCTGTTTTAGAGTAATTTGCAGTCATACAAATCAACGTTTTCCAGATTTCAGATTACAAATGGGTCTATTACAGTCAATATTTTCAGTATAATGCACAACACCATAATATCTAATTGTTGAACTAATACCATATCGTGACCCGCGCTGTTTCTATTTGCCATCTTCATAACTAATTACATTAGCAATTGATTCGCGTAAAGTCGATCTATATAAGCCAGTTTATGGCTGTTTTGACACTTAAAAATTGATTGAGGAGTTTGTTTCATCATTGTTTTTCGTATTTGATTGAAATGGCAGGATCATCAGTGTTAGTTGCAGTTGTCAATTTCCTCGACTTTTTCTACACTCTCAACATGGCTTTCCTCAGGTCGATGCTAGACACTGTTTCTTCTATTGGACTCAAGAACATCCTCATCGGAGGTGAGACAGTCGTTTTTTAGATGATTTTTCTTGTTTTTTTTCGTTAACTTATTTGTAATCTTAGATCAATAAAAATGCTATTGAAATTCCGGCCCACGAGCGTAACTATGAAATATTAGTTAAGGCTTTCATCCTGCTGTATTCAGCCCAAAAGCTCCAAACATTTAAATACAAAGTTGTCGTAGAAATCGATCCCTTTAAGAGACTATCTTGCAGTGTTTCTAATCTTCAGAATGTGACGTAGGCGCTGTGAATAATTTATTGTGTCAAGCTTTTTTGTTTCAGACCGGACAGGTCCTAATCCAGACTTCCTCAATCGGGAGAAATATCTTCTGGATGGCTATGTAGTGCTGATCACTGGCTCCAGCTCTGGAATCGGAAAGGAGACAGCAAGAGACCTGGCGCTCCGAGGAGCTACAATAATCATGGCCAATCGAGACATACAGAAATCAGAACGGGTTGTCGAACAGTTGCAAAAAGACGAAGGCGAGTCGGTTCTGTCGGCTGATAGGTTCAAAATACGAAGATTAGATCTCGCAGATCTTGCTTCGGTGAAATCTTTTGCAGATGTCGTGAAGAAAGAGTTCCCCGTTATTGATATGTTGATAAACAACGCAGGTTACGCGTACTATGGTGGAAGTCAGACTCTTACCAAAGACGGGTTTGAAATTACCTTTCAGACAAATCATTTGGGACATTTTTATCTGACAAGCTTGCTTATAGATAATATTCTGGCCTCGCAAAAAGGTCCAAAAATTATTAACGTTTCTTCAGTCGCGCACGCTGGCGCAAAAATGAACTGGGATGACCTTAATGGGGACAAAAATTATGGTGGTCTTAATTCGTATGCTCAATCTAAACTAGCTAATGTTCTGTTCACGCGACAACTGAACGAATTGTATCGGGGGAAAATCAACACTTACTCGTTGCATCCTGGACTTATAGCGACTGATATTGTAAGAAATGATTGGCTGTTCCGCTGGGGTGTAAATTGGTTCTATTGGCTTCCGTTTTTAGTAAATGAGAAGCAAGGCGCATTTACGACTATTTACTGCGCAGTTAGTGAGCAAGCTAAAACGGAGTCGGGTTTGTACTATTCGGATTGCCGAGTTGCAGAGCCTGGTTCGGTCGCCAAGGATCGAGAAGTGGCGGAAAAATTGTGGAAAGTGAGCTGCGATTTGCTGAAGATTGAATGGAGCGTTGAAAGTTGACAGTTTAAATCCACTTTGAATTTATTTTGATCAACTTTAGATTTCAAAATCGTTTATCAGAGATATATCAATTGATTGTATTTGTATACCAACATTTTCCTCGAGAAATCTGTTTAAAAAGAATAATTTTGTCAATTTCGGCTCATTAACATTAACCTTAATTAATGCAAACAACCGTTAGTAATTACAAAAATTCAAATCTGGCGAAACCAAAATTTTGAAATTATGATTGTTGATTACAGAGCAAGTTTCATGCGAACGGGAACTAGACTTTTTCCCGTTAACTTAAAAAAATTGCAAGAATTAACCTTGTTTTATTTTGAAACATAGTATGTTTTTACCGATGATTATTGGCTTCCTGGTTTTTGAATGAAACTCTGTAGGATCCCTTCCCGAATGTTATATTTGGCTTATTTGAAACCAACAGAAAACTTTAGGCTAGAATACGTATTTTGAGCGTTTCAGATTTTAAAGTAGCCGCTCAATTCATACATGCAGAAGTGCAGACAAATATTTTTGAAATTCTAAAAAGCAGTCAATTTTTTGGCCTCCTTGAATGCATTGACATTTTCTAACAGTCCGTTGAATGTTTTGTTTTAAGAGTAGCAGTGGTAGGTCAAATAGTCAGTGGTTTTAATTCAACCATGATCCGGTGCTCGTTGACCTCTCTCGTGTATTATAACTTGACTCACTCCAGAAAATTAACCAGAAAAATTGTAATTGTCCAGGGGCTTAACAACAGTTGCTATCTCCCCTTCCTCAGGAGTTCGACACTCTCTCCACTGAGAATATCATTAAAGTATTTTAACTTGTTTTTTAAATTTTTTTCGCTGAATTTTTATATAATTACGCACAGTTTTGTTATATAAGGTTTGCTGTTTTCCGAGCTAATTCGCATAATTTAGTGCGCAACAAATGTTCTCATATTTAGTATCTGATTATCATGTGTTTTATCCGCTTTAATGTTGACTCCCGATGAGGGAATTTCTTTCATTTTGAAAGCTTACTTACTTCTTTTGTTTTTTTTGCTATTTAAAGCTTACGTTTGCAATTTTTTTGGGCTCGACTTTGCGAAGTGCAGTTTGGCCTCTGTTGAAATTCTAAAATAATGATAAGACATTATTGTTTGCCTAAATATCATCACGAACTTTGCTGTCGCTGAGCGAGAAGCTCATCCAGCATAATCGGTATCTAATCGTCGTCTTTTCTAACAATTGCCTGCAAAAAAAATAAAACGAATGAATTAAGAAGAAAATAAGACGTTGAGATTTTAGTAGCATGTGATGTAGCCACTTTGTTGATGGGTGGTGTTTGAACAAAGGAAGGTTTTATGGAGCAGCTGACTAACTCCGAGAGCGCGTGGTTTGAATCCCGCAGAGGACATTTGAAATCTTTTTTGCCTAATTTTTTAGTTTTTCGCGATCCATGTTTGTTTTATATATATATATATATATATATATATATATATATATATATATATATATATATATATATATATCTCTTTCGATATTTGTTTTTGTTTGTTTGAATTAGTTCCTTTTTTGCTCTATTCTAAATGCTTCAGCTGACTTTATATTGGCTAATTCGCCTCATTTTATGTTGATTGAAGGGCTAAAATAGGATTATTAACATGTTTTTACAGCTCGAAGTTTTTAAAGTATTGAAAAAAGCGATGATTCCAAATTTTTTTGAAAAATACGAAAAAAACGTTCGGAATTTTAATTTCATACTAGTAACGCTGTTTTAAACTAGCTGTTTCATACTAATTTCATACTAGTAACGCTTGTATATTTTGTTCGCTTTCTAGAGTTTTGCAAATGAGTTCTGATGGCGAGTATTTGAGTGAGGGGGAAATCTTCACAGATGATGACGAGGACGATCAATTGAGTTCTCCGTCTCCACCGCAGTCGACTAAAATCGAGATATCTCCTTCTAAAACAAACTCAACTAATCAGCCTCAGTCTAAATTTCAACCTAACGTATTGAAACTTATTCAATCGCACATAACACCTAGTGCAAATGTAAAATCAAGCTCAGATTCACGAAGTCACAATACAGTTCAAAATATATCTGCAAGTATTTCAAAAAATTCAGGAACTGGAAACGCCCCAATTGTCGAAGGAAAAGAAGCCCTAGGCGAAAATAAGTTAGACGATGCTACTCAGAAAATAAAGACGACTGATGAACCGATTGACCAAATTGTGAGAACAGAAAAATCGAAAACTGCCGAAAATAATGATAATGATGATGATGATGAAGAAGACGATGACGAGCAATCAATTGGTAAGTAACAACTAGACTTGTAATTCTTGTCAATTTCGGCCATGCTGATTCGAAAATTAGTCTCAAGCGACAATTAAGTAAAATTTAAAAGATGCGAAATGCACAACCTATCAATGCAATGATTACTGATAGATTAAATGACGAAAAGAAAGCCTAATTGCGCGCTCATTCATATCAAAATTACCATGAAGTATTTGGGTGGCCACCAAATGATTCAAGTTTAAGACGTACATAAATGGTTTTTCCTTAGAAATTTTCAGAAAAAAATCAATTAGTAGTAGCAGGGGCGGATTTAGGGGGGGGGACGCCCCCCTCCCTCAGGGATTCGACCCCCTGCCGACCCAAAGGGTCCCCCCTTTGGTACTTTTTAAGAAATCCATTTTTTGCCGACCGACCCTAAAATTTTTCTAAAGGCGCCTTAGGCGCCAATATATACTAACTTTGAGGGGGAGCGCGCGCCAAAAAAACGCAATTTTTTTGTCAAAATTTTTCAAAAAGTGCCTAAAAACGGCTTTTTTGACCTGTTTTTTTTTCAAAAATTTGCCTGCGGCGCAGAAAATTTGGCCAAAACAGGGACTTTTTAGTGCTTCAGAAGATCTCGGAAAATCAATTTGGTCGACCTAAAAAAAAAGGTCGTCAAAATTTTTGAAAATCCGCCCCTGAGTAGTAGTATATAGTATAAGACTCAATTAAACTAAAGGGAAAATTACAAAGTGAATAAAAGGACAGAAAAAAGACAAACTCAAAGAAGGATAACCGGTTACTGTGCAAGTAGCACAGACTGTTCCAACCATAGTCCTAAAAATTACAAAGTTTTTTTCAATTCTATGTCGTTGTTTTGGAAAACAATTATAATGCAAAAATGATCAGAAAAAGAAAAAAAATATAAAACGCTAAATACTCGGAAAAAAACTAAATTTACTCGAGTACTATTTTAAGCCTGCTGACTTGCTTTACTCGCTCGAATTGAGACGAAAAATCAAACATTTCAGACCGGTTTTTCTCGACACTGGGAAAATTTCTTGGTATTTTTTACTCTCGTTCAAATCACGACTGAAAGGGCTGTAATGTGATATAACACTGAAATCACTCCGATGATTATTTGTGGCAGCTGATTTTGCTTGGGAAAAAAAGAAAAACCAAAACACATCCGAATACAGAGTTCTTCCCCAGTTTTCAAATGGTCGGAAGAATTAGGAAATTTAGAGCGTGTAATAGCACCGTATAGTATAGTCCATGAAAATTTGTTCTGCAAAGTATTTCTCGTTAGTGCAAGTATATCTTCAAGTAGTCGGCTACCAGTTGAATAGAAATATCATAAGGAGGAACAAACTCTACACCGAGATTATCTTTCAGATCAATAACCAGTCTTGAGACTCGGATGAAATAGGATTCCTCGCATAATCGCTGTTTTATGTTCTTGTTCACCAGCTTTTTGATGCAGCACTCCACATAGATCTATTAGTTAAAACTCGGAAAATATCATTGAACTTGATGAAGTTCTTGCCAAGATACATGTTCAGATAGAACTTGATTTCAAGCAATGGTAGGGTATAAACAAAAGGTAAGGTTGCTGATAATTTAAGCGAACACGTGTAAGAAGTTAATTACCCAAAAAAAAACACTTGAGCTAGCGATAGTTAAGAGACTAGTTTGCGTAAGCAACGAACATCTGGGCTCCAAACTTCAGACCAGAAAACGATGATCGATTGCCTACATGCGCTGATGTTTTAGCCGGTCAGTCCACGGCAAGGAATTTTTTGCCGTTTCCTTTTCTGATTTCACGTTGACTCATATGTTGCGTGACTTCAAATCAGTCAGCATGAATTTGTCAAAAAAGCTTCCTTTGCAGATATCATTTCATTTCAACTCTTCTAGATTTTCACGCATTTCTGAATTATCTGTATTTTAAAAAATTTTCTGAATTTTTTCGATTATCAGACCGAATTTACGAAATTTGTGACCCGCAATTCACATTTGACAACACTTTATCCATTTTTAATGCATGTTTTACTTTATTTTATCAACAATATTTAACTCTAATTTTTGCTGTTTCCTTGCCTAAGTCAATTCCCTTTTGCTAAAAGAACAACAGTAAATTTTAGAAATACTTTCAAAACAAAGAGTCTTGAATCTTTTTCGACTTGGATTTTTTTCTTTCATTGAATTTCAACCGGCTATCATTGATGTTGGTTTTAGTTAATACCAAAAAGAAACAATTAAAATTATACTGATTTTAGACGACGAAAACGGCGACCAATCAGATATAACTGAGGTCGGAGACTGCGACGAGTATGAAGATCCGAACGAAGCAGGCAGAAAAGTTGGACAGAGTGAGAGTAAAGAACAGGATGAGGAAAATGTTAAGTCGAGCACTGAAAGTGGAGTCAATGGCAGTAAAGTTTATGGGAAAAGCGGCGTAGTTGTTAAATGTCCATTTGCAAATTCAGGGCAACAAGACAATAATCAAGACATCATCAGACAAGGAGCGCAAAACAGTAGAAAAAGAGGTTTAATTGTCATAAATAGTTTTTTTTCACATTTAGTTTGTTCCAGACATATCGCCTGAAAATTAGAAAAACGAAGGAAGCGCTGCGTAGAATCTGTTGTTTTCGATTAAAGTTCAATTACACGAGGCAATGGTCCTTAGGAATCAAAATTGGCGATTTTTTGTTAAAAGAACTGATTCAGACTCTAAAAGTGTTTTGAAAAGAGAAAGCCGTATGATTGATCAAAATCACTGTTTCAAGTTTTGTTTCTACTGCTTTTCTAAAAGAAGAATTTTTTGTTCAAAGTTGAAAAAAAAATTCACAAAAAGAAAGAACAAATCTGCTTAACTAAAGGTTTATTTTTCCATTTTCGGTTTATTAGGCCAAGAAGAAGCAAACGAATCATCTTCGAAGCCAACATATGAGAGCACTCCACTAGCAAAGAAAGCTCATATAGAAGAGTCATCTGTCAGTTTAACAAACGAAACGAATGGCTCGAATGAAACAAAAGACTCGCCGGAGATAATTTCAGATGCGACTCCTAACAAATCGCCCGTAAAACGACGAAAACCCACAAAATCAATCAGGAATACGGGCAACTATCTATGCACAGCCTTGGATCTCCCCAGATCAAGCCAGCCCCTTCCGTTTGGCTGGAAACCCATCATACACGATACAGGGATCCCAATGTACTTTCACGTAAAGACTCGTGTAATGACGTTCTCGCGACCTTTCCTGCCTGAAAATGGCAAATGTGTGAGAAATTGCGAGCCTCCGATTAGCAGCATTCCTTGCTTGGAGTACGAGTATTTTCTGAAAAGCAAAAATAGTTTGACGGAAGAAGCCTCGAAAGTTGACATTGGTTCTGAGGACTACCAAGCGACACACGATGGTCCACAAGGTTAGAATGATTATTTGTTCAAGTCAGTTGAGATTGTTCATAAGTTGTAATTTCGAGGGTTGGAAAGGGGTTTGCTAGAGCAGTATAATGGATAACAGTTAAGAAAGTTTATCAGTTTATATTTTGGCAGACCAAATTCAATTTTCAAGCTTTGCTAAAACGCTCTAATGTCCTTGTTTGCCAAAAAAGTCTTCAACATAAATGATGAATTTGTGAAAAGCCTTGCTGGTAATCCCGAAAACGTGATTTAAAAATGGGATCAATTTGTGTTTGCTTGATAAAAATAGTAATAATTGGATATGAAACTTTTGAGTGCTAAAAATCGAACGCCTGAAAGCAAAAACAATCCAGCCGCCTAAACACGCCCGAGTGACATATAAAAATTGAGGCTGTTAGATTATTGTCAAACATTTTGGTAATCATTGGAACCGATTGAAATGGTTTTTCAAGGCTGTTTATTTTTTAATGATTTAACCATCTTTATGAATGAATTTTTGTGTTTCAAAACAAAATTATTCTTTACAGGAAATAATCATGGCCAACCTGAAAACTCGACTCCTGGAACCGAAGATGCAGCTGAATCTCAAACGAGTACTCAGCTTGCGTCCGAGGATCAGTCTATTTCACAAGAAGTAAAGACGACTAACAATTCGTCATCTGTCGCTGCGCATGAAAAGAAGAAAATAGATGTGATGAAAAACATGCCGAGTAATATTACGAATGAAAGTCTGGGAAGTTATGTGGAGAAGCTGTTTGTGGTGAAATCGAGACGACCTCTAAGTGCTCTTAGGGAGCAGAAAAGAGCAGTTTTGAAGGCCAAGGAGACTGCCATCAAAAAAGAAGACAGAGGTGAGAGTTATAAGTATCAAGGTTATTGCAGCGACAAACGGTTGATTAATAAGGAGTGAATTAATGAGATTTGAGTGATAGTTCCAGTAGTAATTCAGATCAAAAATATATGGTAAATCACCCGCAAAAAGTTGCTCGAACCAATTATTAAAGGTCATGTTTCATCAGCTAATTTTAATAAAAAACGGGAAGTGATCTTTCAGTTTGAACCGAATAAGGAAGATCAATTCCAGTTCAGTTAGGAAAAATCACCAATACCCCGCCTTTCAAATTAGGTGGTCCCTAGTAGAATGTCTCGGAAAAATGCAGTTTTGCATCTTCCCAAGTTTTTCGTCAATGCGTCTGCAGGCATGTTTGCTGTTGGTAAAAATGTAAATGCCACCTTCTCCTGTTCAACTAACTCTCGAAGGAAGGCTAGTTTTTTCGCAAAATGCTTCGTCTTTCTGTGGTTCAATGAATGTTTACTTAGGGCAATACTAGCTTGGTTACCAACGAAAACTTCCAAAGGCCTATTACAGATTATGCCTAAGTCGCTAAGTATGCCCTGTAATTGAATTCATTTCTTTACTGTTTCGACAACAGCATTGTATTCTGCTTCGGCTGTTGAAGTTGATACACAACGCTGAAGTCTGCTAGACCAACTTATTACACCTGAGTTGTCACTGAGCTTAAAACAATATCCTGAGGTACTTCTCCTATTGTCTATATTTCCAGCCCAGTCCGCATCCGAAAAGCTAACAAGATTCAACGCCTTATTCCTCTTATATACTAAAATTTCTCAGCCTATTGCAAAATCAATTGCACCAGATATAGCCTTCAGAACTTTACTGAGAAGTCTGAAGCACCAGGATTTGGCTCTTAAAAGGGTGGTAAGTTGCCTAACCACCCACCTTACGAGTTCAAACCATCTTTCGAGCATAGTGCACTTTAAATGACATCATTTAGCACAGGGCATAACATGCCTTGTGGTGTCATTCTCGTGCGGCAACTTCAGAAAAGCCCATAGGCATTGGGATTTTGCCATGAGTTTTTTAAACGGTCGGTCTGACTGTAGAACACAGTCAGTCCACTTTGGTCTGTTCAAACATAAGCAGGGTTGCTTCAGACATACCCAAATATAAATACCTGGACATGAATGCCAGTGGCTTCCAAAACCGATCTGGCAGCTGGTCAACGACCGCAGCGTCATGCAAGAATGTCAACATACCACCCGAAGGATCGAACTGTTAGTCTTCAAGCACTATTGGCTGCCACTCCCTATTACCATTTCTGGTACACCGGGCTTGTGACCGGTGTCTAGCTAGGTTTTACTAAAGGTCTGAAGGCTATATCTATACTAAAGGTAAGCTTTTTGTTCCTAGCAGATATCTTAGAAAAAAATTTTCGGCTTTCCAATGCTTTTCACCTGGGTTTTCCACAAAAGATATTAAAAGGTTTGCTGCAAAGCAAATGTCGGGTCTACTTGACAAAGCTAGGTAATTTAGACAACCAACAAGTACTCGATAGTCACATTTTTCATATTTTCTTGTTCTATGCTACCTTCTAAAGGACAATCTTCTTTTGTCAGTTTTTCGTTTTCACCAAGAGGGGTTGTTATCGGTTTTGCTTCGGTCATCTTAAATCTTGATATCAATTTTTCAACATTTCTCCTGGCTTATCCTAATTTCGTTTCCTGAGTAATTTATTTTCATCCTAAGAACCATTTAAGATCACTTATTTCGTTTATCTCAAATTTTGTAGAGATATTGTTTTCAAACCAGCTACAGAAATTTTTGTCTGCTCCACAAACCACGATATCATCGACCCTCAAGTAAATCGAACCTATCTCTCCCTCCATCCTCCCAACAAACAAGCACTCATCAAAAACTGAATTTTCAAAGCCGTATTCCTCAAGATAGCTTTTTAGAGTCCTATGCCATGTTCTACCGGACTGCTTCAGTCCATAAAGCTATCTGAAGCAGTCCGGTAGCCTTTAGTTTGTCTTCAGAAGACAAACTAAAGGTTTTCCTTCTTCATCAAACTTGTCGAACCCTTCAGGTTGCTTCATAAGAATATCTTCATCTAGTTTGGCATTCAAGTATGCAGTTTTAATGTCTAACTGTCTCAACTCATACCTATTTTGAACTGCTAAGCTCAGGACTATTCTTATGGTCGACATCTTGGTTGTAGGCGAATACGTTTCATGAAAATTCCTTCCCTCAACTTGGCTAAAACGTTTAGCAATAAACCTACCCTTAAACCTGGACATTTCACCATTAGGTCCGTACTTCAAAGCAAAGTGCCACCTGCTGCCTATAGGTTTTTCTCCTCTATTTCTAACTAGTTCCCAAACTTTGTTTTTCTCTAATGAATCAAACTCTTTTTTCATTGCTTCTTGCCAGTCAGGGTCTGCTAAAGCTGCCTTAGCAATTTTTGGTATATTTTAGAGAATTTCTCCAAAAAATACTACATCACCTACTCTTTCTCCTTCATCACTTTCTATCTTTTTCTCAAAGTATAACTTAGATTCGTCAAAACTAACGTTTCTAGACTTTTGCACTCTGAGTTTTCCTTCACTCTCAATTCCTATCAGATAAACTTTACTATTTTCCGATGTCACTAGGAAAATTCCCCTTTAAGAGTTTTTGTCTAGTTTTTGCGAAACTGTTTTTCCACAAAACTATACGCTACACACCCAAAAGTTTTCACAAAAATAAGGTTGGGTTTTTCTCCATACATAGACTCGTAGGGTGTTTTGCCTATAGCAGAATGAAAGCACTTATTTTTGAGATTAGTAGCCATATTAAGAGCATAAGGCCAATAAGTTTTCGATAAATAGGCATCAAAAATCATGCAGCGAGCCATTGGAGTAATTGTTCCCGGCACCCTTTCAATCTTTCCGTTCTCTAGATATCTAGAAAAACTGTCCTTAAAACCTATAGCATATCTATGTTCATCTTCTGCTATTGGGTCGATAGGACCTAAAATATCTGTGTGAAAAATATCTAGTGTCCTGGTTACCCTGGTGTAAGAATCTATCAGGACTGGCTTCTTTTTTGCTCACAAGTTTCACAATTCTTATTTTTAAAATCACTTATCTTCATGCCTTCAACATGTTGCTCCAAATGACTTAAATCTTTGTAGTTATTATGACCCATCCTGCAATGCCACTGTTTTAATGTGCTAACTACATAACACTCGTTTTTTCCTACAAAAGTTTCCCATAAAAAGAGACCACTTTCCTCTCTTAATAGGTAAACTGAACCATTTCCCAGACGAACAAACGAGCTCGCACCAAAAACAACTTCTGCTCCTGCTTTCTTCATTTTTGGTACACTCGGCAAATTTCTCTTGAGTTTTCAGGAACGTACAAAGTATCCTTCAGCTCAATCATCTTAAACTCGCCTTTCTCATCTTTCACTCTGAATCTAACTTCACCTTTCCCTAAAATTTTTGACTCAGAGAAATTTTCATTGCTAACCGATTCTTTTAAGTTCTCACCTAAACTAACAAACATGTCTCGATCCTTAATCATAATACTGGTAGCTCCAGAGGCTACAACTAAGTCCTCGCTCGGAGACACTCCACTCAGAAAACTAAAATGAGCCTCTGTTTCAGCTGCTAGATTCTGGTGTTCTCGTTTAGTCTTACTAATGAACTTTTTCTTTGCTTGGCAATATTTTGCAATATGTCCAAACTCCTTACACTCATAGCACTGAATTTTCGCGCTTCGTCTTCACTATCTCGTCTGCTGCCTAAGTTTTCTCTGCACTCTTTCGACACATGTCCTCTTTTATGACACTTGAAACAAAATCTATTCTCGCTATTAAAAGCATGCTCTTTTTCAATTACTTGTCTCTCGCTATCAAAATTTACTAAATCTCTTTTTAACTCATCTAAGTTTTTTTCATCTCTACTAAACTTAGAAAAAGTTTCAAATTGTTTTGGAAGTCCTTTCAAAATAATTGAAATTAACCTTTTTTCACTCACTCCTTCGTTCACTTGTTCTAAGTTATACTGAATCTCCTCTGCTCTAGTCAAATAATCTATCACTGTTTCATTGCTATTCTTTTTCAAAGTTGTAAGTTCGGAGATTAGTTTTTGCAGCCTGGGTCTTTCAAAACTCTTAAACCTTTTCCGTAAAACATCCCAAGCTTTGCTACCATTGCCTTTATAAGGTCTTAAAAACAAACCGATTTCTTATCTAGAGACTGCACCAGTTCGTAATAGATATGCAATTGTTTTACTTCAAAAATCTCTTTTCCTTTATCTATCGCAGCTTGTTTTTGATCACTGCTTGCATTCGGTCTTAAACTTGGCATTAAATTTCTATAATCAACTGTCTCATCTAAAATCTTGTTTAACTTCAAGTGAAAATTTCGTGCCTCGAATTGCTCTTCAAAGTAGGAAAAATTTCTTTCTTTTCCCGAAAAAACTATCCTATCAGTTTTCGGCATTTCTTTCCTAATCCAAATTCCTATTTTTCGAGTTAATTCTTACGCAAAGGTTAAGCTCCAATCAAAAACTCAAAAAGTTAAGTATTGCCCTAGGTAAAGTTCAATAACCCCGTTTCCTCTTACATCAAAATCATATATTATAAACATCAATATCGCCCGCTTATATAACTATGCAAGTAAATCTGAATACCTTAATCTGATTTGGAACCTAACGGAGTGCGTACCGAATAACACATCAGCAAATTAGCAAAGCTAAGGTCCCTCCTCAGATTTCGTACTAGGTAATATATATATATATATATATATATATATATATATATATATATATATATATATATATATATATATTAATTAGCAAAATAGAAGTTCGTTTTTTATTCTGGGGTATCAGTTTCTTTTTCTTTAAATGGCAATGTATTCTTTGGATTGATTTTGTGTCGGATTCGAGCAACCGCGTACGAACGAATTTATCCCTCCGCAAAAACTGAGTATAAATCAGCAAGTTTTACAAATAAAACATGTCATTTATCAGTTTGTTTAGGTTTTCTTTCACTGTCAAAAGTGTTGTGATTCTTCCACTGCTGTGCTCACTCAGTGCCCCTTCGTGTAGCTTTTGACCGTCTTCTCTTCTTCTCTGTTAAGTTTCCCTGCTTCTATCGTCAGAGTTGTCTATCTCTAGAAGTTGTGTTGCCCTTCTTCTGTCGTCAAAGTTGCCTGTCTCTACTAGTTATGTTGCCCTTCTTCTATCTTTGCACTTCTCTGTCTGATCAATCGTCTATCTCCAAGTAGTTTTGACCTGCTTCTATTATCGCAGTTCTCTAACTGATCAGTTGTATATTTCAAGTTGTGTTTTTTCACTGTCACAACTCCACTGCAAATCTCAGTTTTTTTCCTTATTCGTTTGAGCAAACAGTCAATCTTGACTCCTGACTTCTAACTCGTGATTCTGCATCTGGGCCCATAACCTATCAAGGTTATTGCAGCGACAAACGGTTGATTAATAAGGAGTGAAATAATGAGATTTGAGTGATAGTTCCAGTAGTAATTCAGATCAAATATATATGGTAAATCACCCGCACAAAGTTGCTCAAACCAATGATTAAAGGTCATGTTTCATCAGCTAATCTTAATAAAAAACGGGAAGTGATCTTTCAGTTTGAACCGAATAAGGAAGATCAATTCCATTTCAGTTAGGAAAATTCACCAATAATAAGCGAAGCTAAACTAGAGTTGCGAAGCCTAACTATCTGTGCAGAGTCATAGAGTGTTGTGAAACTAGCACAGATTCTTTTGACCTCATTGATCATTGCAGAAAATAGATAAACATTTAAAAACCACAAAATCTCGAAACCTTTGAAAACATAGTTTGAATCAATTTTTTTAAAAAGAGAATTTGTTGTAGAAAAGAAGATTCTTCGTTAAATTATCCCTTGATGACTCTATTTGAAAAGGAAAAAATAACACGTTTTTTGACACAAAAGTTTTTAGAATTTTTTTTTGAATGAGCATCACAACTGAAAGGGTCTCAATATGTTACCGTGGTTACATGAAGATCTACCCCTGTTCCATTTTCTCCTATGCGACGCGACTCTAGACCCGATAGTTAAAGCGTAGTTTTTATTATGTAAATGTAGCCAGCCCATTTTTGGCTTAAATTAATAAAATTGCCCAAATTTTTGGGTATGAATTGCGCAAAATAAATTGCACCATGTTAATTCTGGTTAACTCCTAAGTTCAAAGTAATTTCTTTCTTCGTCTTCATTAGGTTAACCCAGTTTGAAAATGAATGCTAAGAATTTCTTATTTTGTTAGTTTTGTCCAGATGAGTTAAATTAGCAATTTGGCTCAAGAAAATGTCTTGAAGTTAATGCATGTTTAGGTGTCCCATTGATGATTAAAAATGGAGACAGGTATGAAAACATCCGCATCTTAGAAGCAAATCACACGACCAGAACTTACATAACAGTATTGAACGACTACGCCACGAAAGCCATTAAAGCAACTCCAGTCTACAACTGCTCAAATGTCATTGTACCATCAAGCGAAGCTACAGTAGACACTATTGCGAATGCGAATAGCTCCTTAGACACGAGCTCAATCACAACTTCAAGTGCAGTAAACTCATCAAATGCGGCATCGCATACGCATTGTGTGATCACGATTTTAAATGTGAAGTACGGAGAAGCGATTGCGGTTGGAAAACGTCCGGCTAAAAATCTGGCTGCGAAAGAGGCGCTTAAAGTTCTGTGTCCAGAAGTTCTCCGGGCTGAAGAGACTGATTTGGATTCGGAAGATATTCTACTGTCCAGTTTGAATTACAAAGTAAGACTTATCGAGGTGTTCAAGCGATTCCTCATTGGAGATACGAAAGTTGTGGAAGAGTTGAAATTAAGAGAAGCTTCGCATTTTGCTCCTATGCAGTTGTTAAATCAGTTTCTAGTGCGAAACGTGGCGCCTTCCAATATGAAACTACACACCAATTTCACTAATGTGAGAGATCCCCAAACGGGAGCAAAAATGCACGAGTGTGATTTGACATTAGGACCTAAGTACAAGGCGAAATCGATGGGTAAAACCCAGAATATAGCAGCGCAGTATGCGGCTTTGATGTTGCTTCAAGAGCTGCACCCAAGTTTGAGTTATTACAGTTCTCTGATTCGTCTGTATGGAATTGACCCTTCGGAAGTTCAAATGCAAAAAGAGCGTCAAATACGTGAGGAGGTCTCCCAAAGTCAAGATTCAGACGCCTGTGATACAATTCTGAAGTTGCTTCGAGAAGAAATGAAGAAGGCTTCAGAGGTCAAAGGTCAAGAGGGCAAAAGCAAAGAAACATTTGATGTGTTGAAGATTTCACCAGAGGAACCAGAGTACTTCTACACAAAACTGTGGGACTTTGGAAAAGCTTAATGAATTATGTTTGTTTTGTTTATTAAATTAAATTATTCTATATCTTTTTCTATGATTTGTAGTGTTTAGTAGTCATTTAATATATGGCCTTTTTGGCTATCTGAATTGACGTTGTTTTCAGGATGATTTAATTGTACTTAATTTTCAACTGATTAAATTATAATGTTATGAAGAGCGATTACTCTGTTTTTAATGCCAAAAGACGTTCTCCGTGCGTCAGAAAGTTTCGTTTTTGAGCCAAATAAAGCTTACTTGTCTTGCCTATCTGCATTGGATCTGTCTGATCTGAAAGAACGGGTTGTTTGCTGCTAAAACGCATATTGTCCAAGGTTACTACTATGATGGACAGTTCCTAGAAAAACGCTACTATGATAGACAAGTCCCGGTAAACAATTACTGAACTTAGGAAACTAGAACTTAGGTATATTCAACAGTCAGAGTAAAATAGGCAAATTGGATATTGGAAAATAGTTTGTAAATAAAAATGATTAGAAAAACAAAGATAAGTCCGAAAAAATTTTCTCAAGGTTTTTGAATTGTTGAAATTTTTATTCGCATGATAGCGTTGAAAACTTCAAGAACTAACTCTACTCGAGTAAAACTAAGTCTTTAGGTATTAAAATAAGCATAAATAAGCTTTTCCTCCTATGGTTAGCCTACCTACTCGCTTGCTTTATTTGCTCGACTTTAAACTAAAAATCAAAAATTTTAAACCCGTTTTTCTCGACACTGGGACAGCTTTTTAAAAACTTTTGAAATTACGACTGAAAGGGCTTTAATATGATATATCACGGAGCCAAGTTCGAAGATAATGTGTTAACTGTTTTTGCGGAGGAAAAATTAACACACCATAATACAAAGTCCTCATTTTAAGTGGTCGGTATAAAAAATCTGAAAAATTTCGATATGGAGTTGTAACATTTATACTGTTTAAACAAGCAATGCTTGTGTTATAGTATGAACTATCATTTTCTTTCGAACAAAGTCGCAAGTATTTTTGCGACGCGAATATTGTTGCGATAACATTTGTTCATTTTGAATGGGTTCATTTTGATCAATAACCAGTTATTAAGTACAGCCAATGCCAAGAATTTTAACAACAACTATTCACTGCTCTATAAATTGCGGCATGTTATGTTATTTGGTAATTTTTTCTTCAAATTGACTAGTACTGCTAATGCGTTACAATGGCAGGTGTCATTTAAGAAAATTTGTAGACTCAAAGTTTTTTTCATTCAGTTTTTCAGAATAGCGTTATTGGTCATATTTTAGCCTTTGTATGCAAAGTGCAACATCGCTTCTGTTAAATTAAACAAATTGCTATTTTCAACTCATTTCATGATTTCGAATTCATCAATTAGCTTAACTCATTATTAGTCGAAAATCATGTTTACCTCATTTTTTATAGGAGTTGAAGGACTTAGTGAAGACTCTTATATAAAGCTTGATACGTTTTTGTTTATTTTGTTTTTTAGAGAAAAATCTTAAAATTTATTCACGCTCAAAGTTGATGTATGCAGTCTGACTTCTTTTCAAGTTCCCTGGTTAAAAAGAATACAAACTCTGCTAGTGATCAGCAAACGTTTAAAGGTGTCGAAAAACGTGATCAACTTCGTATTTTGATAGATGATTTCAACCTTCGAAATTTCCAGTGAATTTCGAAGAACTTAAAAGCCATATAGTTTTGATTTGAAATTCGAAATAAAAAATTTAAAAATATATAAGTCAGTTTTTATTCCAATAATTTGCGTTCCTTGATTCTGTTTCAAATGCCTATTGGCTATTTTTACATCATTTTCATTTATATAGGTCTTTGTTTTTTTTTAAAGTGTAAGGTCTTAAAATGCTCTGACAACTACAGAAGTAAAAAAAATTTGGCTTCCAATTATCTGAAATTAAAAAAAAAAAATTTTTTTCAGCTTGATATAAGAAAATTAAAAGAAAATATAGCAGTCAATTTCTTAGGTTTTTAAACTTAAGTTTATCAGATAGTGAACTTTATTGTTAGTTTTTGGTTGTATCTATATTGTTATGATTTTACTTAAGACGAAGCAGCCAAACGTTTTCGCTCGAAAAAATCATCAGGATCATTGCTGCAACTGATCAGAAAAACTAGCTTGTTCGGAATTTTTGAAACTATATAAAAATTTAGCTTGACATAATGCTTAACATAAATTGAGGCTCATAGCATAGTGGCAATATGTGTGGAAAGGAAAAAAATAAATTGACTATCCCTAGACAGGCTGCAAGGCCTATCATAGATCCTCTGCGAATCCCAAAGCGCCAATTATTATGACTAATAAATTTTTCAAAAATAAAGATAGTCGCTCCAGAAAAACGAGCTAACGTACTCCCCCAAAATTAAAATGGCACCTTGCCTTGCAATGTCTCATCAAAGCTCGAAAAGGAGTTAATGTTGTGCAATTTACCGAAGTTTTTAGTAGACAATAAAAATAGCCAGAGTTGCTTTTGAGACATGTAACACATTTTGCAATACTTTGATGAAAAATTGGAATATTTTAATTTGCTATGTCAATAAAATTTTTCTGACTTGTTGAATCAACCAGATATTCAAGCGTCCAGATTTCGATTTTCAATCTGACTGGTCATTTCGGAAAAACTGAATTTTAATTGAAAGAATATAACACTACTGCCAAAATATCACAGCAGCGCTTCTAATTGAAAATTCAATACGTTCAAAAAATTAAATTTTCTAATTCTCAAGTTTTTTCAGTTGGAATGCTGAACCTACCATTCGATTCTAGTTTTGTAAATGTTTTCTTTAGTGATTTCTTACTCAAGTTTTTAGGGCTTCTACGACGGTCGCCAAAATGAATTTTTTTAGACGAAAGCTTTGTTTATCGTGGGTTCAATTAACGAAATATCATGCTTGCGTTCAAAGTTTTCGGCTTAGCCTTTAATAAAATTACTTAAAACACATTTATGTCAATGAATCTATTAGTTTACTAAAAATTGTCGGCTTGAAAGCATGTAACTTCTTTAAAAATTGTTAGACGTTGTCCGAAAACATTAGAACTTAAAACTAACAAGCCAATAAATACGATTAATTATAAGATTTTGTTTCATAGTTTTTAAGAGTCTTCATTAACTGTTCATGAACGCAATACGTACGATGTCCAGTATAATCGACGAGTTTAATTTTTTAAATTTAGTTTAGCTCAATCAGAGTATAGCAGTAAGTCGCTTTTTTGAAATCAGCCTGGAGATAGCTACATTCTTCATTTTGCCTAAAAAATTACTGAACAAACATTTTTGAAGAAAATACACCATACTTTCAGCAAAGAACACAACGAAAAAATTTTTTTTGGCATGATTTTTTTAAAAACTGTTTTGGTGTTCATAAAGTTTTTTGGTGTTCATAAAATAAAGTTTTTGTTAAAACAATGTGAAAATCTCTCAGTTTTATTTTAATTTTGTTTTGTTTTTGGGTTGACTTATATCCGGGTATGACTTCCCCCTTTTTTGCTTAAAAAGGAACCTAACTGTCTGGTTAACATGCGGTGTTAAGCAAAAATTTGTACGTAAATCTGTTTACCACTGCTTTCCAAATGGTTGACCTTGAAAACAAAAAGGTTTATAAAACTTACCAAAGTCTTTTCACCAGCTGACCTTGAAATTGAAAAGATTTGTAAAACTTCACCGTCTCGAGGATATTTAGAAAACGCATATGATCCATTTCTTTTATTTTGCTTCTTCAAATTGGTTGCAGTGAATTTTAATTGACATCTAAAAAATTAAACAAAGAAATTTGTTGGATCTCAACACCTCTCAACACAGCTCATTATTAACTTTAGAAACTTGTAAAAAAGAAAGTGAATGAAGCCTAGAGAAAAATTTTTACAGAAAAAAAAACACTAAAAAAACTGTTGTCTAAATGCTATTTAGCCTTGAAATTAAAATATAATTTTCAAAAAACAACGGGTTAGCAGGTCCTGCCAAATTCAATCTCTTCATTTTGAATTAAAGTTTGTAACGTCACATGCACTAATACTCCTAATATTTTAATACCCAGTAAAAGTTCAATAACAACAATTTATGACTAGTATTACCCAAATACAGCAATCTTTAGGTAAAAACTTGTTTGAAAAAACGTATTTTCTATTTTCTTAAACTCATTCCATCATTTAGATTGGATTTGAATCATCTTTACGCTTGCAATAAGCAAGCGTTATCAATTCGGACTTTTTTCTAGTTAACAACTAGTTTAACAAAAGCAGTTGAATCACTTGACATATTCAATGCCCTTCGCTTGACATGCTCTTCAGCTGACATGCTCAGTTTCATGAAAATTTAAATTTAATTATTGGCTGGGTACTAATTACTACAGGGTAGTTTCAGGGGAATCTTGAAGTTTTTCGTAAGTTTATTTTAAACAATAAGTTTTTTCCGGCTCAACTAGGGTGTCTGCTCAAAATTGTCGGCCTTGTTTCCGCTTCGTAAGTTTTGTCCAGTTGCTAATTCAATATTCAAATGTCTTGCTTGGCATGTATTTCTGTTGGATAAAAACAGAAATTTTGAAAATACAACGCTATGGAAAATTTTAACACTTTTTGCAAAAATTTTTTTTATTGTCAAAAACCTTTTGAACCGGTTTTCAAAAAACGATTATCCATAAAAACACCGTCTACATTCTTGTGTGCCTGCATACTCACTTGGTCTCTTTTTGCTTTCCCCTTTTGACTACAGCCTTCGAAAAGGTCTGTGGGGGGAATTTGACCGATAATTTTAAATTTTTTTCCTTTTCTCAAAAACTAATCCGCCAAATCTATTTTTTTTGGTTTCAATGGTTAAAACGGATTTCAAAAGCTCCCCTATGTAATCAGTCATGGCCAGTTTTTCAGTTATATAATCAGTTATGGCCTTCAGAATTGTCAAGTGTTTGATATTTTTACCGTTTTAAAAATATTTTTTAAAATAATTTGCTCAAAAACTAACTACCCAAATCTGAGTAGTGAAAAGCTCCCCTGCATTAGCAGGATCACTCTCAATTTTTTACAGAAAAAATTATTGCCCTGGGAGAAGCTAGTTTTTTGAGTTTTGAGCGGTTTTTTGAAAATTTAACCAAAAATAACCCTCTCATAGCTGAGATTTTGGTTTCAGCCCAAAACACGGGCTGAGCGAAGCTCCTTCTTCTATGTGCATACGTCGGA